GGGCGCAGTTCGTCGCGGAATTTGCGTGCTAATGATCTCAGTATGGATTATTGGACTGCCGACAAGGCTTGCGACGTTGCTGGGCTCACTGATTTGGTAGAGGCGAAGGGGCAATTCTTTGTAGGACTTGACGGTCTTGGCCACCAGAGTAGTGATCTCCTCCTCGTGGGTGGGTGACAACATATACTTGGACCCTTTGCGGTCCTCGAATCCGAAGAGCTTTGGAGTATGAGTAAGTCAGACGTAGTGTTAAGTTTATGAGAAGGCATGAACGGACCTCAGCCTCTAGTTGTGTGAGGCGGCCACTCCTCTGCCAGAGGTCCTTCGATGTAATGGTCGATAAAGCTACTCTCGAGGCTCCTAAAGCAAACGTCAGAAAACGACAACGAGCTACACTCGATGTATATGAAAAACTGACCAAGTTCTTGCATGTAATAGTCGATGACGCCCTCGAGCTTACGTTGCACACGCTGGCCAAGAGGAAGTAGATGGAAGATGCCAGAGTGTGACTGAAATATGAGGAATGAGCAAAATTTCTTATCTCGATACCCCTTTCCCGAACAACCTACCTGTCGCAAGAATCCGGCGCGAACGAGCTTTTCATACGCGCCTGAGTTTTTAAAGTAAGTACACTGGCATTTAAGATGGGTAGCATGAGATAGACCTACCCTCGCCTCGTTCAGGTGTCATTCCTCCGGTAGGGACCCAAAGAGCCGAAAGCTGATTCCTGGCGCTACCAGCACGGTAGCTGCGGCTGAATGACTGGCGACAAGTAAGCACATGTCATATGAGTATATCAGGCAGAAGGTATCTGTGTACCTACCTGGCTACTGCCTTTGAATGGTGACCTGCCATAGCATGCCTTCGTGCTATGAGACGACGGCAAAGTAGGGAGTCTCCTTGCGCGACTGAAGGACATATTGACGTGGAGGGTGAGTATATCAGCGAATGAGGTTACTCTGCAACGCGTAACTCGCCGACCAGGACTCGTAAGTGAGGTGCTGGCTCAGAAGCGATGACCGGTATGTTCACCTTGAAATCATCCACCAAGATGGGATGACAGTGGTGATTGGTCAATTGTTCGATGAGCCGGCCACCTGGAGACTGGTCAATCGGAAATCAGCGAATGGCATAGACCGACCACAAGCATATGATGAAATTGGGGCGAAGGCAATATACAATCTCTTTAGGGCCACAAGGATTTGTGAAGCCAGGTGAGGCTATATCAAGTTTTGTTTGACTACAACCATGGACTTTTTGGACTGGGCAGGATTTCCAGTGATAACTTGGCTTACCAAGGTACTAAGACAGGGTCAGATGGACGAGATGCGCGACCCGATTTTACAGTGTTAGTACTCCGAGTAAAGTACCTTGCTCTAAGCTGGAGATGCGGATTCAGATAGGTGCCTTATTCAATTGGGTTTAGGGGCTCGAACGAACCTCCACCACGCCGCCATCCTGGCTTATCGATAAGAGAAACGACCCCACTCCCGGCGCTCTCTTGACTTTTTTTTTTTTGCGACTACCTACTTCTTACCTTTCCTTGTTGCGGTGCAGGTTCTGCTTCGTGTACATTTTGGCGCAATATAGAGAGTTTCTCTCGCCTTCACTCGGTTCATTATCGCCTTTTGCTTTCGATTGTTCCGAATCCTCTCTTCTCATCTGGCCACGGTCATAATTCGAAATTCAAGATGGGCAAGCCAAAGAGGCAATCTGCCGACAAGGCTCGACAGCCAGAATCACTGAATCCGCAGTCGTTTTCGAATCTCACAGCCAAGATCGAAGGAAAACTAGGCAAAGCTGCCAAAGACAACTTATCCGACAGCAAGAAGCGTAAACACACTTCCGAGGAACCATTGGCCAGCCCGCACCAACGGAAAAAGCAAGCCCATCGTCGCGATAAGTCCACGAGCGGGCGCGACGGTAATGCCACTGAGGTGAAGGGCAAGAAAGGCGCGCCCCTCAACCGCGAGGATCTTCTGGAGGAGATCAGGGCCCTGGGAGGAGACGAAGAGGACCTGAAGCTCATTGGAGATATCGATTCGGACGACGAGGACACCACCGGGGAGGCCAACTCCGTCGCTGCTGTTGATGGAAAGCTTCAGAACGAGCTTGCTGCTTTCGCAGCCCAGCTCGGTCTCCAACAACATTATGAAGCAGCAACAGCCCAGGAGACGGAAGAATCCCCGGAGGACGAGGAGATAGAGGAGGACGAGGAGAGTGAGGCAGACGGAGTTATTGAGGGCGATGACCAGTCCATCCAGGAAGACACAGCTCCCGAGGCCCATGCACCCCAAGAACCTCCCCGCAAGGATGTCAAAGATACGTTCAAGAAGCAGTTCGTGAGCAGCCACCTGAACCAAGTTATTTTCAAAGTTATGCATGTACTGATCTATGCCCGACAGAAATTCGAACCTCGTGCTGACTGGCACGGAGCGGAACTGAGCAAGCTCCCAGATCCTACGTCTCCTGAAGTGAATGGTTTCCTTGGCGCTATCAATGCTATCAAAGTTCATGCAGTCACTCTTCTGGAGGCGGACGCGGCAGCATACAACAAGAGCGTTTTGGCATCATCTTCTCGAAAGTTCCTCTCCACCATCATGTCTTCCGGAACGCTCTCCGACAAAGTCTCTGCCCTCACCTTGGCAATTCAAGAGTCACCGCTGCACAATGTGAAGGCTTTTGAAACACTCTTGGGCCTTGCGTCTAAAAGGAGTCGTGCTCAGGCCATTGGCGCTCTTGGTGCCCTGGTCGATCTCCTCGGTCCAGGTCTACTCCTACCTCCTAATAGGAGACTGCGCGCCTTTCAGACTCAACCTGGTCTCATTGGAGTTCTGCAACGATCCTCTGTCAAGATTTGGAACCCAAGCCTAGCCTTACCGGGCCGCTTAACAGATGCACACCTCATTCAGTGGGCTTACGAGGACTGGCTCAAGACATCATACTTCAAGATCATCCAGCTCCTTGAGGTCTGGTGCAATGATGAGATTGAATACTCTCGCACCCGTTCCATCGACTTTGTCTACGGCCTGCTCAAGGACAAGCCCGAGCAAGAGACCAATTTGCTCAGGCTATTGGTTAACAAGATGGGCGATAAGGACCGCAAGATTGCCTCGAGGGTTTCCTACCTTCTTCTCCAGCTCCAGAATACCCACCCCGGAATGAAGCAGGTTGTTATCAGGGGCATAGAGCAGGAAGTTCTACTTCGTCCAGGCCAAACTTTCAGGGCTAAGTACCATGCCACGAATACTCTGAACCAGACAATTTTGAGCAACCGTGAATGTGGCACGGCCGAAGCACTACTCCGCATTTATTTCGAAATCTTCGTTACTCTTCTCAACAGTTCCGCACTTGGCAAAGCACCCGCCGAAAGCCAACATGATCACTCTTCCAAGGACACTGGCGTTACGACGGAGACGGCCGACAAGTTGGTCACTGCAGTATTGACGGGTATCAACCGCGCCGTGCCGTTTGTAGCCGAGCAAGATCCCATGTAAGCATCTGGTGTTCACTGGCTTCTGTCTTGCGAAGATGCAAACAACTGACTTTCGTATGCAGCCTCGAATCCCAGATGGACACTCTTTTCCGAATTGCGCACTCGACGAACTTCAACACGAGCATTCAGGCGCTGATTCTCATCCAGCAAATATCCGTGTCAAGGCACCTGGCTTCCGACAGGTTCTACAGAACTCTGTACGAATCCTTGTTGGACCCGCGACTCGCCAACTCCTCTAAACAGGCCCTTTACCTAAACCTTGTACTGAAGTCTCTCAAGGCCGATGTCGACACGAGGCGTATCAAGGCCTTTGCGAAGAGGATGTTGCAGATTCTCAACTTGCACCAACCTGCCTTCGTCTGTGGCTTGATATATGTGGTGTTTCAACTGCGGACTCAGTTCCCCGACCTTAGAGCACTTCTTGAGGAACCAGAGGATAACGATGCAGAAGAGGTCACTGGCCAGCCCGTGGCAGACGGGCAGAAGACCTCTATTTCCAGGGGAACGGTGTACGATGGCCGCAAGAGAAATCCAGAGCATAGCAACGCTCAGAATAGCTGTCTCTGGGAAATTGTAAGCTTGTTACCCTGTTTGGTTTCATGAGAGTCCGGTCGCTAACAATGTAGATACCTCCCCTCACTCACTTCCACCCGTCCGTGTCTCTACTGGCCGCAAGTCTGTTCTCAAATGAGAAGCAGATGGCCAAACCGGACTTGGAAAGCCACAGCTTGATCAGATTCCTCGACAAATTCGTGTACCGCAGCCCCAAGTCGTCAGAGACTGCTAGGGGAGCATCAATCATGCAGCCGGTTCGCAATCCTGATTCTGGCAGCATCTGGCTCGCGAAAAGAACTGGCTCAGGCGCAGCTGCGCCAATCAATACACCTAAGTTCTGGAACAAGAAGGCAGACCAGGTCGCAGCGGAGGACATCTTCTTCCACGAATACTTCAAACAAGCGGGCAAGAAGGTTGAGGGTGGCAAGAAGATCACTGAAACATCGTCATCTGGACCAAACGAGGTCAGTGCCGAGGAAGACGCCGAACAAGAGGATGAGATCTGGAAGGCCCTGACTGCCTCGCATCCCGACGGCCCAATCGAGAGTGACGATGACGACCTTGACATGGATGGATTCGACGACAGCGATGAAGAGTCCGATGGCGGCGTAATATTTTCTGACGGTTCCGATGCCGAACTCTCGGATGGTGACGAAGATGACGATGACGACGAGGACACTGGCGAGCTTGACGATGAGGAAGGAGACGACGATGAGGCGCTGGAGGATGAGGAGGAGAGCCCTGAGCTATCTGGAGTACCAGGAGCGGCCGAGGAGACCAGCGAGAAGAGCAAGAGCACCGCTCGATCTTCCAGGAGGAAACTCAAAGACTTGCCTATGTTTGCGTCGGCAGATGATTATGCCGAGCTTTTGGCGGTAGAGGAGGAGGACATGTAATCGGAGCGAGGAATTCGCAATGGAAATCATATTGTACGTCTGGGCCAAGCAAGCCCATGAGACGAGGACATATGGCCAACTTTATCTTGGCCAGTCCCATATCTACCTAGGTGTCAAACCACTCGAGATCGTCATCTTTAGTGAATATGGCCCTGTACGTCTTATCCCCATCCGAATGCTCGGTCTCTTCTGTGTGAATGCTGTGAAGCTTTGGCGGCTCAGCTCCAGGCACAAAGGCACGGAAGTGAATATAGGCAGGCCCAGACTCAGGTAGTGCTGGGATTCGGACCTTGCCAAATAGGTGGATTCCGTAAGCCGAACTGGCAACTCTTACGGCAACGAAGTTGTCTGGGCCGAAAGCGGCCAGTTGGTGGTCGTCGAGATGTTCCTGCGACTTGTCTGAGCGGGGATGATGGCAAGCAAAGGTGGGACGAAATGACTAGTGACTTACAACGGCCTGAAAATACTCGGGCTCATGCTCTGGTGATGGAGAATTAGCCTAAGGCTTGTTTTGAGCAAAAAGTGCGACTTACTTTGGTGTTCACGTCGGATGTGGAGAAGTTCCTTTTTGAGATCAGGTGCGATCTCTTGAAATACCTTGATGGACTCTTCCTTAGGCGCGTGCACAGCGCCCAGATCTACAGTTTCTGCTGTGGCCTAGAATGAAAGGAGCACGGCAATTGGTCAGCTGGTATCAACAAGATAGCACTTGCACATCCGGCATATGAAGATATATAAAAAGCCTTACCATTGTGTATGTTGCTGCTGTGATTATCTTTCTGCTGAAATACCAGCAGCCTTTGCGTGATGAGAGTTATGAGATGGGATGCGTTTGAGATGAAGTTGATTGACGGTGGATGCCAAAACCAAATGAGGTCTGCCCAGGACCCCTGGAGCCACACGGACCGATGCCGCACGAGGGCCAACCACTGGGTGAACACCCCGTCCTGCTCATCCGGAGTCTGATAGTTTTACGGAGGGAGATATGATGTCATGTTGCCGGGATCTTGTCTTGATCAAGTTCAAGGACCCCTATTGCGTAGAGTGTACAGGGGACCGCGTAAAGCTACGACACCAAAAGTTCCATATACGTTATATCTACAGCAATACCATGGCTCCAGGAGTCCAGAATGGAGGCGAGTGCCGTTGAAATAAGGCATCAGGCAAGTGCGGGAAGTGGAAACTGTCTATCCGCATTCAGATCCAGGCGGAAACCCCATTGATGCATACTTTTTGGCTAGGTGTTTTTTTCGCAGCGCTCGCTTAATGAAATGTCGTTTAGTGAGATGATACGAAATCTAGGTGCTGGGACGGATTCCTATGCCGCATTATACTGCGCTTTCCCACCTACGCTAGGTACTTACCTCAAGGTACCTCACCTTAACGGTTAAGCTACCCTGCACGTAGCCTCGGCATACGATTGAAGTGACAATCCGCGCCAAAGGTCAGTCTTGACTTTTTCTCATGCCTCATACATCAATTGTAAGCTACAGTCTAGTTGCTCCACGGATCGGCTGTATCCATGGCAGCATCACCCTCTCTTCCGCTTCGGCGACTTCTTAAGCAGCCTGAAACATGGGCAGCTCCCAATGTGACAGGCTTGCGAACCTCGGCCCGTCGCCAGCAGGTTTGGCTCCGATGCTATCACCAAGGCGTTAATGCAGGTACGTTGCTTTGTTCTTGATAGTCTCCCCAGGCTATAGCCCATTGAGCTGACAGTATGTCTTTGTAGGCGCGGCGTCGCAACCGACAAGCCCTTCCCGGTTCCGCAAAGCTATCAGCTTTGGCGCGTTTGGACTGCTGTTTGCAAGCCTGGGATTCGTTGCAGCGGCGAGTCCCCTAGTTCCTGGTCTACTTGACGCAGCAAAACCGCGTTCCGATGAAGATACCTTGCGTGCCTACGTGCCCGAGAACGACGAGGCCGAAAAAGTGAATGATTTTATCAACAGGCACCCAATTGCGGTAGAGATGCGCCAGAACCCCGATATGACCGAATCTCGCCCCCACATGAAACTCCCCGATGCGCTGCGGCGGCATAATCTCACTGGCGGTACGCTTCTTGGACCTGGCCGGATTACAGTGGCCCCTGTTTGCTGGACCGAAGAGGGAGGCAAGTCTCTCGTGTCAATCACCCATCTTGGCACAGATATTTGCGGTCACCCCGGCATTGTGCACGGTGGATTGCTTGCTACAATGCTTGACGAGGGACTGGCGCGATGCTGCTTCGGTGCTCTTCCACACAAGGTGGGCGTTACCGCTAAGCTTGAGATCAACTATAGAAAGCCAGTGCATGCAGGCACGTATGTCGTTTTACGGGCGCGCACGACGAGGGTAGAGGGGCGAAAGGCATGGGTAGAGGGCCAGCTGGAAACGCTACCAGTGGACGGAGAAGAGCCTCTTGTCCTGGCGCAAGCCTCTGCACTTTTTGTCTCTCCCAGATTTGCATCGGTGAGTGACCCTTTTTCTTACTGTTTGGATCATTGAGCCATAACACTAATATCTTCGAAAAGGTTATGGCGAAGCTGAATGCGACTTAAGATCTCCGTAAACTGGAGCGCGACCTTTCGATTCTGAAGGTACTCACACCGTATTTCCAATAGCCTGAGGGAATGCGCTGGGGAGATTGGAGAGAAGAGACGATGCCAAATCCATAAGGGGGTTTGCGAGAGGTCTACTGACTGAGCTGGAAGCGCATGTTCAACCCAATCCGATATATGTATAGACCATCTAAGCCACTAGACCGCCAATCCTCTTGTAAGGTAGATGGATTGGTAGATGGCTTTCAAGGGTGCGCATAGAATAGCCCTTTCTCAGACTAGCAGCATGTGGTGGCCCCACGACCCAGCTTGAGCTGATAGACAGCTTGCAACTGAGAAAGTGTGGCCGGTGAAGAGAGATGGATGCTAATCAGCATAACGTTCCACTGGTTTTTCTCTTTTGGTGGAATTCACGACTCTGATTGAGGACAGCTGTGATGTTTAAACTAAACATGCCTTCCGCAAGGTAGTCACGAGAGGTCACTGGGTGAGTCGGAGGAGGCTTCGGCACCGACGTGAAGCGCGGCGCGGCATCCGGGAACAGGGCGGGAGTCGGCACTCGGCCAGTCGGAGGCAGTACTTCAAAATGGGCCAGGAACCAGCTAGATTACAGGCCTCTGACGTGTAAGGTCCCGCCAAGCGATGATCCACCTCTAGCCGATCTGACGCCATCGCTCGGCGCAGACTCGCAGTGCTCCGGTACGGAGTACATGCATGATGCTGCGGATTCCATTCATTTTTTCTTACTGCGTTATGGGTCATTGGATGCTTACCTACGAGTATCCGTAAGGTACTGAGCCTTATGTGGAATGGGCCAAAGCCGGGCAAAGTACCTCTCTTGTGATGCTACTCTTTACTCTGTAGTATTTGGGCGTTTTGGGTACATCGTCCGGCCCTGACTTCTCCGTGATCTTAGCTTGTGAAGTGAAAAACAAGAGGGAAAAATGGAGGGGGAGGAGGTGGGGTGAATAGCAACTACCCTACTCGGTCCGTTGTCGTGAGAGTCGTGTGTGCGCGCGCGCATCTGTGTATATGTATGAGTAGTTGTTGCCGCTGCGTCTGGTTCCATTTCATACTTCCGTTCCTTCAACACCATTCTTCCCTTTAGTCCTTACCACCAGATACCCAATCCAGTTCACAATGGCCACGTAAGTATGAACGAATCCCCAAATTCGGTTTCCGTCTCGACAGGACCAGAATTACCCCTCCATGATTGCCTTTCGCTATCCCACCGACCCCGCAGTCGCCGCGCCTGCTTGTGATAAATGCTCTCCAGCTCTTTGCCCTCACGTCCGCAGCTCGATAGCCGGCAAAATGGCGAACAAATTGGCTGACGTTTGGTCTTCGATATAATAGCAACATTACATGGCACCCATCACTCTCGCGCTCTGAGCGTAACCAGCTGCGCGGCCAGCGTGGTTTCACCCTCTGGCTGACAGGACTATCCGCCTCTGGCAAGTCTACCGTAGCCACCGCTCTGGAGCAGCACCTCTTGCATCTAGGAGTTGCCGCCTATCGTTTGGACGGCGATAACGTTCGCTTTGGCCTCAACAAAGATCTTGGTTTCTCCGAGAAAGATCGCAATGAGAACATTCGTCGCATTGCTGAGGTATGGTCATTTACTCTACCCTTTGGACTCCATCTTTCAACCAAGGCACGGCCGTCCGTAGCGAGTGCACGACTAATACCACCACAGGTTGCCAAGCTGTTTGCCGATTCTTCGACTGTTGCCATTACCTCCTTCATCTCGCCCTACCGTGCAGACCGTCAAGTCGCTCGCGAGCTGCACAGCCAGACTGGCCAGAGCGCCGACGAGACCATTCCATTCATCGAGGTATTTGTCGACGTGCCTCTCGAAGTTGCCGAGCAGCGTGACCCAAAGGGTCTGTACAAAAAGGCCAGGGCGGGAGAGATCAAAGATTTCACCGGCATTTCGGCCCCTTACGAGGCACCCGAGAAGCCCGAAATCGTTATTAGGACCGACAAGTCGAGCGTTGAGGAATGTGTGGCACAGATTGCCGAGTGGCTGATCAAGGAGGGTCTCATTACTACGAGTAAAACAGCCTGATGTGTACGTTCCTACGATTGCATGGACGGCCGACTCTCATCTTGTTTCAACTAGGAGTTACCAATCGGCAATAGCCTAGAGCCTTCTAACCACGGTTCAACTGTCCCCTTTAAACATACCACGAGTTTTCAGTGCAAGCTTGCGTCTGAAATACGGGAGCGCATGCACCCGCCATGCTGCAATTGTGTAGTTCCACGTAACTAAGGGAAGTCAAACTCGTAGTAAACGTAGGCCGTGTACTCATGTCCCTCGCCTCCGCCAAGCCCAACAGCAGCCATCTCGGACGACAATGCTGCGTCGTCTTTGGTGATTTTCCCGCGCTTGTCTCTGCCAAAGGCGTTGCCTCCTAGGTACGAGTAATTAGAGTCCAGGGCTGTCTTGACCTTCTTGACAAGCTTCGAATTCGTCTGTCCATCGAGTTAGGATACTGAGCAATGATTCAAACGAGGGATAAGGGTGCTGACCTTGACAATGACACTGACATAATCGAGCGGAAGTCCATAGCGGAGAACAGCCTCGACAAACACGCGCAATGCGAGCACATGCAGCCAGATCATGACGCTCTCGCTCCAGCCTGTCCGGCCGATTCTCAGAGCCTCTCCCCATGTCTTCTTCTCTTCACGAGCCACCCGGTCAAGCTCACGTTGCTCTTCTTCCTTTCCGCCCTCCACATACTTGTATTGGCGTGGAGTCCATTTTTGCTCGCGACACTTCGCCAGGAACTCGGCACTGTGTTTTTTGAATGACGTGGCGGCGTACAAGGTGAACTCTTCATCCGTCGCAACCTGCACGGCAGACCGGGGGACCACCATCGGCGCCAGTGTTTCGTAACTCTTCAAGAAGTCTTTCTTTGCATTGTTCGGCACAACAATAAGGTGCGTCTCTAGATATTCCGAGTCTTGGATAAGGAGCGCGGGATCGACGACGGGAGTGAGGGACTTTGTCGCAAGGTTGCCACTACAATACCGCTATCAGCTATTCATTCGGCGTTGAGCCAGAAGGAGGAAGGATAGGCTTCGGAAATAATACGTACGTCTGCTTGCGCTGGAGAGTGGTGAAGTTTGTCTTGACTGAGTTATACTGATTGAACTTGCTCTTGACATCGTTGTCGGTAGTGACAAGTTCCTGGCGGTTCATTAGTTTCCTTTGGACCGACTCTCGGGATGACAACCTAGATTCACGCCAGCGAGACAGGCGCTGTACAACAAAGTCCCACTGCGAATCGGTTGGCCCTAGCCCGCCCTCTCTCCACGTACCTTTTGCAGTGTATCAACGAGTTCGCTCAAGGGTTTGTCGGCGCGGTATCGGACCTTGTTCCAGGAAAACGAGTTGACGTACTGGTCGGTAGGCTCTGAGAAACAACCGCCATTAGCAAGATGCACACGATGTTTGTGAATCATGCAGCAGCAACGAAGCGGTGGCCTAGACGTTTCTTACTATCGTTGACCATCTTCTGCTGGGAAATTTTGTCCTCATCACCATCGAGGATTGACTTCAATGAGTCGGCAACCTTGGAAACAACAGCCTCGCAGGTGGACTCCAACTTGGCAAGGTCGTCGGCTTGTTGGACCAAGGCATCCAGGGTGCCGATCTTGAAATCGGGGATGTTGAAGGGGCGGACACTACCATTTTCGGCTGAAATGGTAGCGCTCAACGCGGAGATGGCGTCGTCCTTATCTCCAGAGTCGAAGATGCCGAGAGGCAGAGAGACGAGGGCATATTTGGTAGACATGTTTCTTGAACTGGTTCGGACGCCGGCTAGCTAACCATGCGGCTATGTCAGAGCCTCGGAGGGTCTAGGTCAATGAGGCGAGGTAAGGTTACGGTAGGTGAGTTCGACAGAGCTATCGGAAGGTAGGCGGAGTTAGTTTGGTCGGCCGATGCACTCAAAGGGAAGGTAGAAGATGAGAAGCTGTCAACTTACCTGGAGACTGGGGTTTTGAGCAACACCCGCTAATGAGCAATGAGTAGGAATGCCAACTCCAGTAGAGAAATCGCACATGAGTAGGTAGCTAGGTATGACGGTGTCAATTGAGGGCCGGGCGGGATGAAATGCAGCAACGCCTACGGATACCTTACCTAGGTAGGTGGTAGTGGAGAGGACCTTGGGTGTTGCTAAACTGAGGCCAGCCTCTGAGCCTCCGGCCTTGCTCCATGTAGCCCCCTACCTGCGCAACGGTAAACCGCGAACAAGGTACGCACCACAATGCCTGTTTTGAAGTACAGACTGGGAGTACTTGGGTGGGAAAGGTACGCATACCACTTGGCCACAACCAGGTACCTAGACTCCTCACCATCTAGTGGGGCACAGTAGTCGAGTACCTTAGCACCTTAGGTACCTCAAAGCTGGGCGGTGGTTCGTCACTCACGCTGCGATAACCTGATAGGAAGGTAGCCAGCGGGTCTGCTGCCATTTCCACCAGCTAATAAGCTGGTGGACATGGAAAGCTGCTAAATGCTCTACCTAGCTTGAGCTCTCCGCTCGACGTCCCGATGTTGTCCAACGCTGCTCACGCCATACCTTCTCAACTTCGACAGCCACTGCGCCTTCGCAGAGCGTAAGTCTTGTTCAGATATCGCGCGGCGGATTCTGGTTCCTTGTCTATCTCCCCTTCTGGTTCTTCACCCATCGCGAATGCGCACCGCTAGATTTCATTATCGCTAATTCATCGTGACTCTAGACGATCGAGGGTTTCTCGCGTTGGTACGATCTAAGTCGCTACTTCGGCCGAATCGAACAACGATGACGATCAGCTCATGCCGTTGGATTATCAAAGAGAGAAGCTGACCCGGCAAGTTATCACGTGCTGTCGAGCGGCCTTGGTCATCCATTCAGGCTTCCGTAATGCTCTCTTGTAACCGCGAGTTGTAGCATACGTATCTATTACCATTCGGATCAAAGGGTCGAACGAGACTTCTTGCCGTGGGAGAAAGCCTACGAGGCACAGCTGTGCTCCAATCCTTCTTTGAGGGACGATGCTGAACCTGTGATGCGCTTGCCATCCACAGCCATGGCCACAACTGCAGGTAGGTGCAAAGCATGAAACGGGCTGTTTCTGCGTCCCGACTAATCGTATTCTGCAAAGCATCTCCTCAACCCTCACAACCTGCGCGACCCCCTACACCTCTTGCTGATACCTCTACCGCCACCGGCACTGACACCGGCACGGACACCGCTGCTGGTGCTGGTAACGATACAGGTACTCGCAATGGTTCTGCATCGCAAACCCCTTTATTAGGCGTCGCGAGTGAAGGAGGTTTGTGGACCATTTCTATCTCTTGAATGCTCCTATCTATTGGATGCTCGAGTAGGAACACTGACAAGACGTGGCTGACATTCAAGCTGTAGGTGCGGCCAATGGATTCGGTGTCTTGCAACATACTGGCCCGCCGGTACAGGACGATATCCCAGGCCTTTACAGAGACGGACGTGTACGCAATCCTGTGCCCAGTAAGCTGAAGGGCAAGACCGATGCGACGAAAGGAAACTTTGGAGTGATGCATATAGACCTAACAACTACCAACGAAAGTCGGGAGCGTGATGCCGCAGCCAAACGCACGAGTGAGGGGACGCAGCTTGCGGCCAGACTGGCCCAAACGGACCGTTACGTTCCAATCAGGCGGAGCAAATTTGTCTATCGACCAGAAGTACATGCCTCGAGTAGTCCACCGCAGCTCAACGCTCCGCAGCCGAACGCACCGCAACTCAATAAACCGCAGCAAAATGCACCACAGCTAAATACACCGCAATCCAATAAACCGCAACTCAACAAACCATGGCCCCATACACCGCAACTCAATCCACCGCAGTTGAATGGACCGCAACTAAATACACCGCAGCTGAATGTGCGACTCAATGCGCCGCAGCAAAATGCACCGCAGTCCAATAAACCGCAACTTAACAAACCATGGCCCCATAGACCGTCGCTCACTACGCCGCAGCTGAATGCACCGCAACTCGATACACCGCAGCTCAGCCGACCGCAGCTCAACGCGCCATATATTCGAGAGCCTGTTGGAGAAACAGCCCGCCAGGGAAAGAGGACCTCGGCACCCACAGCCGCGGAGACGACAGCTGAACAAGCTCGACTCTTGACTCTGTTACGAAGCCTGGACCCTGATCTGGTTGTTGACCAGCTCTGCAAGGGACTGGAATTCTTTGGAGGAGTTGCCAACGAGCACACATCACCTGGCGGGTCATTTCCGGTCAGCGCCGAGGCGAATGGGTCTGGGTCTCTGTTTGTTGGCTGGCTGGCAGAGATCTTTCCGGCTCTAGGCCAGGAGCCACTACCGAGCGCACAAAAGCCGAACTTGAGACGACCACGCGGTCGTCCCAAAGGAAGCAGAAATGCGAAGGGAAAGCAAGTTGATCATGTTGGGCAGCGAGTGGCTTCAGGAGCTCGTGCAGCAGGAGCAACAACGCACAACAGTGCGGTTGATGACACGGTGGAAAGAGCTGCGGTTGATGAGACCTGGGTCGATGTTGATGACACTATCGCAGATACTGACGGAGAGAACTCACAAATGAACGTCGAGCGGGTGGTAACGACTCCAGCTTCTAGTCGGGCAGTATTCGGCCCAGGCGCTTCCGGTGGAATGCCGGAATCTGGCTCCACCCAGACCTCGACAATCACGCCGACCCCTAAGCGAAGAGGGAGACCTAAAGGCTCAAAAAACCGACCGAAAGATACGGCGCCCTTAGCTGACGATGCTCATGAGGATACAAATGGTGTATCTGAGAGCGCGGCAATAGTACAGTCAACGCCAGTTAATCCTCCCGAATCATCAAGCACAACCGGCGGTATTGGTGAGCTCGGAACATCGCACGTCAAGAAACGTAAGGGAGGCCCTGGCCGTCCTAAGGGGTCCAAAAATCGACCGAAGGAATCGGTAATTGTGCTTAACCCTCAACCTCAACCACCACCGCCTACATCGGTTGCAAAAGACCAACGAAGTGAGCCACAGTCCGCCGTAGTGGGTGATTCGGCTCTGGCGGTGCCTGCTGCTAATTCCACATCATCTACCCGAGACCAACATCACGATGTAGAACCAGGCAATCAAGTGAATGTGGCCTCTCAGCCGGCCTCGGAGACTATCAGCGAAACTGCTGCCGCGAAGCCACAAGCCAGCGAAGCCTACAGAGCTGCAAAGCGCAAAAGGAAGGCTTCTCAAGAAGGCAAAAACAGTGATGCCGGTAATGAATCGCTGACAGCTGCCTTGGCTTCAGATCAAACTCATACCAGTGGGCTTACTGCAATCACCAGCGAGAGCTCTTCATCGCCCCAGATGACCCGGTCTCAAGGATCACGAGTTCAGGAGCGCACGCAGGCCCATCAGCCAGTGACCAAGAGACAGAAATTACCGGGTCATCAGCACCAAGATACTGCCTCAAACAGCCGAATGACGCAAGTTAGCCAGAATAGTCAAACTGGACAAAGGGGCCAGCGCGGGTCACAATCGATAGGGCCAATGCGGACAACCCTTCAAAACAATAGCCTCATAGATGCAAATACTACTAATTTGCAAAGGTCAAGGAATCAGATGAGCGGCTCTGCAAACCGCTCATCGCTCCCACAGCCCGTCAACACGCAGCAACCTCAGTCTGATCTGCGACCTCGATACAGCCAGAGCCTCGCAGCCTCATCCGCCAGCCGAGGAGTCGAAAGGACCGAGGCAGCGGAACCCTACTCGTTGAATGTATCATCAAGGCAAGGCGTGTACGATCAAGGTGGGTTGGCTCAGGAGCAACAGCAACAACATCTCTTTCATCAGCAAGAGCAACACCGGCCCATTTTACAGAACCGACCTAATGGCAGTCAGCACCGCCTTAGCAGCTCGGGTACCGGCCAGATTCCGTCAACACTAGGGCAAAATGGGGACAACTATACAGAGTCTACAAGTGACGCAGAGTATCACGGGCTAGTGGGCCTTCAGCAGCCTACGTTTAGCACCCACATGACCGGATCCGCGAGCACGCGAGAAGACAACTACCGTTCTTCGACGCCACGACCAATACAGCATCAATCTCCCTCATTTCACGCACGGGAGGAACACCCAGTGCATAATACGGCAATGTCGTCTTATCAGGACTATTCCGACTCGGCTTTCTTGGCGAGTCTGACAACGGCTAATCAAGCCAGCTTGGCAATGAGCCCTACACAATACAATGTCAACGGTGCGGAGATGCAGCGTGCATCGCCGAACATGAACTCAACGTATGGCTCCTCACATTTGGGCCAGTCGTCTTTTGATGGCAGCATGGCAGAATCTGCAATGAGAGAACGCATGTATCAGACTTCTAGACGTCAGTAGATAAAGACGTAGCTGCAACGAGCGCCCACCTCTTGCGCCGCCTCTAGGTACATTGTGTTATTGGCACCTTGCCCCGACTGACTCCTATGATTGTCACGACGGCCGGTGTCAAGGGCTTAGGCTAGATTCCCTGCCCTCTACCTATGGGGGCGCGCCACGGAAGACTTGCGCCAAACATTTGGGTGGCCTTCTCAATGGTGATTCAAAGCAACATCTGGCACAAAGATCAAGCTAGGTCGATGCGCCTCCATCGCATGGGTGAAGAACGCGTACATGCACGTTGGTATTCCGCCACAGGCCTCTATGGGAAAAGAGCATATTGTTCATCAAGTAAATTGTTTAACTTGACTATGGGCAATCGAATGCCAATCGGTCCTGGCTATGACAAGACTATAAAACTAAATGGAAGACAGTTTGATGTTGGTATCTTTATCCAGATCCCAGGTATTGTACCCCTCTCCATGCTGGCCCGAACAAAAGAGAATGATGGGGAAAATAAAGAGTCAAATATCCAAAGACAAGCTCCGCTTGAGTTCCAATGGGCCAAATTCCAGGCCAACCTTAACGCCCTTAAATGCTCAACACGCCACGCCGGTTCTCATGCGCCGTCCATGGCATCTTCATCTATCGCTTCGAGCGGAGGACGAATGGATTCTGGTGTACTTCGTCCGTACCACCACTCATCCTCCTCGTCCATGCCATCATCACGGATTAATTCCAACATTACTTGTGCATTGCGTTTGATATCCTGGGTACGCTCAACGATGCCCCGCTCTAATATCAAAGCTTCCGCAGTTTTGAGCCAGATCTCTTGCAAGCTGGGGAGGTCAGCTAGTACGTGTCGGACGTGCTCACGTTCCAGCGGTCCCATGGGCATGCCGGCTGACAGACTTGTGTTGAATACCAAGTTCGTATCGGAATCGACTGGATCTTCTAGAGAAGCCCGAGAGGTACGGCGCGCTGATGTTCCATCATGTTGTATCGACTTGGTAGAATCTTTGACCGAAATGGAAGACTTCTTTCGACCCATGCCCATGATACCGCGTCGCTGTTTTGGGGTTGGGTCGATCGGGTCCTTGGCGACACAATTGTACCAAACGTCAACAGCTCCCCGCCTGCTGTTGTACCCCTTTATCTCCCAAAGCCTCTCCACTTGTCGCAAGCCTCCAACACACAGAATGGCGACGTGAACCTCATCTGGAGGTCTTTCCTTCAGGTAGCCTCGTAACGATCGTTCAACACGCCCGGCATAAGACGGCGGGCGTAACCGTCGGCAAAATGACGAGATGACCAGAGGAAAGACTTGGTGGACTCGCAAAAGCGTCTGATCGTCGTACATATTCATGATCCGAGTCTCAATCGGATTCAGTGTAAATGGCTCGTGCAGCAAGCCATGACCATTATGGTCGAGGATGTGTTGTAAGTGCAGCTTTCGATAGGTTTCGAAGAAATGGAACAAGGTAAAAAGAAGTGGTGTCAGGCGACGACGCATACGTTCATGTTGAGGGGCGAACTCGAGGCGCTGTGATTCCGTTGTTCTGAGGAAGATCTCTTTGGTGATCCATTCGCACATGAGGTATGATAATTTCGCGGCGACGTGCAAACGATGCCACAAGCCGCACAGGTGATGAAAATTGGCGGCGGTAGGTTCGTTAGATGGGTAAAGACGCAAGGCGTATGCCGGAATGTGACGTTCCAAATGGTGGCGAACGATGGGCGCCTCGTTTAATGTCACAATAGCGTGCCAGGATTTCGAGACTTTCCGAAGATTCAAGACATCCGTCAATGGCAGTGATGAAATGACTTGAATCTGAAGTTCAGTAGGCAGAGCTAGAAACAATTGGCCAAGGGATTGCCTAGCGATGTGTTAGAACTGGTAGCTATAACCGCACGTCGGCTCTAGGAGAGGGTGGCTAACGTCTTTGGCCTCGCGAACGCTGTGTACTGTTCACGGTGATCTACTTGCGATGTTGACTTGTTTTGGAGGATCGAGACCTTCGATCTCAGACTGAACAATCGGCTCTTCTCGGTACGCTTCTGATCTGAGGGTCGGGGGTTCTCGGCATTGGCTTCGTTTGACTTAGACGTTCGTAATGGCAGAATAAAAGTAGATGTAGACTGAGACGAAATCGGCGGGGAGGGGTACGGTTGAGAGGATGGCGTCTGAGGATTGCGTAATTGGTGAAGCTGCTGGGCTTCGCGGATCGCAGGGGACTCATTGAGCTGATTGAGTTTGCTGAAGTAGCGCTCGGAAGCGAACTCGGTGATATGCGGCGGATCCATATTAGTGCTATCGCGCTGGACGATGGCTCAGCCTGGAATAAGAGAAAACGAAGTCTAGAAAGTCCAGCATAAGGTCGCGGTACGCTGTGTTGAGAACCGGGGGGTTAACGACGGGCGGGAATCGGAGAGTCGACGATGCCGTGCATTCGCGGCTCAAACATGGCTGAACATTGAAGATATCGACAGTGGTTCGGAAGCGGAAAAAATCGTAGGGAGTGATTTAAATGAACAGGCTTGCGCCCGGCGTCGATTGGGGTGGTATATTCGGGAGTGCAGACTTCGAGAGTCGATGGCGAGGGGGTCGAATCCAACGACAACGGTAATGTAGGATATCGAGACTGGATGTCCGAGAAGATGGGCCGAGGGGGGACGAATTGGAGCAAGAGGCGAAGAGAGATAGCGAATGAGCGTAGGCGACAAAGACGAGTCGAATAAGGAGATGAAAGGCGAACGATAGTGTTGTAGAGGCACGGGACGTTGTGGTGATGTTTTGGGCGTGATGATCAAAGTTGCTTGGGATATGAGGATGTGAGGAAGAAATGGAGGAGGAGGAGGGAGGGGGCACAGAGAGAGCGCGAGGGTGCTGGAGAGGCCCGTCAAAGTCGGGTCACTTTCTGGCAGGCAGTACGTTCGGCACCTGGCAGTGGGAGAAAAGCGGCGGTGGTGCAGTCAGGCTTAGGTTCCTTGAATCCTTGGTGGGTGGATGAGAGTGGGTAGAACCGTAGAACCTCTCTGTGGGCGACGTGGGTATGCACGAATGGTACCTAACGTAAGGTATGGGTATGGTCAAGCCTGGGGAACTTGGTAGATACTGACAGTCACCTCAGTCTGTAGGCGCAGACGCGGGTAAGGTGACGGTGAGGCTTTGGTAGGTACGGATAGAGAAGAGACAACGAGAGTAGTAGAGTGGAACTGAAGGCCAGGAACGGGAGAAAGGCAGATGCAAGAAAGCGAGAGAGGGATCGGCTATTCGCTGATGCTGGGAGGCCCGGCGGTATGTGCGGCGAATTAGTGGAGGTCCAAGTGAAGAAGGGCACCTGCTGGCCTAGAGGCTAGGGGGGGGTTGATGATCCCGAAGCGGCGTTTGGCACTGTGATGCAACGGCGCTGACTGGCTGCGTCTTCGGAGAAGGAAGGGCCGTAGAAGTATCTTTGAGGGGGTACCTCGCTTGACTTACCTATCAATTGTGGGTATTTTACCGTGTATCTTTTTCTTCACTACCACAGTATGATGGGCGTGCTCGACGGAAGCGAAAGAGAGCGGCCGAGGAAAGCACCGTAAATGTGCGCGGACGAAGCTTTTCATCCCTACAGCCTGGCAAGCCGCAAGTGAAAGTCGCATTTTTTTTTTCTTTCTTTCCCTTTTTTTTTTTGTAGTTTTTTTTTTTACAGAGAGTACACCTGGTGCGGGCTTGTTTCTTCCTTTATTTTTTCCCGCTTTAGTCACTGATTGAGCCTCGACTCGATCCATGGATGTCTCTTCATCCATTTTGCCATCGGGTATGAAGTACGAATACATATACGAAGGCTAGGTACACCAACCACTTGACTCGAGCGACAACTGCGATTGCGAATGTCATAATGGCAATCTGGCAGGTTTCCATCGGCGAGATAGGTACGTACTCATTCAGATATACGGCTGTCTTTTCGTCCTTCGTAGGTATCTTCTCGTTTCGCAGTTCAACATCCGACTTCCATTCCTCGGCTGTTCTACAGGCTCTAGGGCGGTTCTTCGTCTCCATTTCCCTTGGAAGCCATCTTCAAGACTCACGCGTTGATCCTGGGGCCGGGGGAACTGAAGGTGAACCCGCCTGATGCCGCTCAAACTTATTCGCTGTGTATCAAGCCTTTGCCATCAACTACATGCGACAGCTTAGTGGTTTAGCTTGGGAATACTAAGAGGCTCCTCTTGGCCATCGTCCCGTGTTGAGTGAGCGATGGTCCATGGCTACCTTAAGTTCGGCGGGCGCAAAGAGGTATCCCTAGGCGGTTTGCACCGATGCAGTACCGGATTGTGCAAACGATCTAGGAGAGAAGCCCGACAGAGATCCAGGCGGAGCCTCTATGGCGGGATGCCCTCGCTCTTTTTTTCCATTGGTTCGTTGGTGTTGCAAAACCCGATTCGATGCTATCACGGATAGATGCTTTGCCTTCTCCGAGGCTGCTGATTGGAAATGGTCTCAGTCGCCCTACTACGTAGAAGTGCCTGGACCGACTTTGATGATCCAGGGCCGATTGCAAAATACGCCCGAGACAATACCATACCAAGTGCTTCATCGAAAACAAGTCCATCCGCATGCACTAGGCAGCGGCAGTCTGGAAACTTTTCCCCTATCAATTCTATGACATGCAAGAAAGTAATGTGAACCAGATGAGATCCACGTTAAGCATGTCGGTACTGATCCTTATTCATCAATAATAGTGTCCCATGTTTCGTCTCATTCTCGCGGTACTTCTCGCAACCGGCCGGAATGCGACGGCCAGCGGGCTACGGGCATCGCCGGCACCACCGATCCGGGCTCATTGTTTTTCACGCCTTCGTCATATATCCGTACGAAATACATACGGGTGGCTTCCATGGTTCGCGGTGCGCCACAAAGTAAGTAGTGAAGTAATACGGAGTACACCGGGTCACAGAGTGCGCACCGCCCACAAAAACTTGCCATACGACTGATTCGGACGGAGACACATGTTATCGAAGACACAATGCCTACCTAAGGTATCTTGTAAGGTATGTGATCGTGGTGAGGAACCTAAAGTGAGGGAGATACGCTCAAAGCATCCATTTCCCTCCTTGCGCACGCTTATTGAGGGCCAAATACTACAAAAGCATCTATCAAACTCGTGATGGAATCACTTGTAAGTGTTCCGTACAGCATTACGATTACCTTAGCTGCTGGCACCTCATATTCGCACTTGTTCACGCTACACCTCAGAGAGCAAACCGAGATGAAATTTAGCACCTGCTGTGAAGTTACGAAGTCAACGTCTGTCAGTGCCAATTTGAACAAGGCGCCATAGGGTCAAATGGAACGCGGTAGATTGGACCGAAGTGGCCGAAGTTGAAGCGATGGAACTGACACAAGCGGCTAGGTGCTGTCTCGGATGGACAAGCTACGTTGGACGCAGCGGGGGGGGTAGACAGTGGCGTGTACGAATACCGGAGAAGTGAAGTAAACCGTAAGTGCTACGGTGCCGTACCTAGTACTAGTTTGACCTCCCGCCAGGCTCAGCCCAATCATGAACACTGTAACTCAAGAGTGAGGTTCCTCGATGCCGTGATGCAATTGGAAGGTACCTACGGTGGTAGGTACTCGGGAGGAAGTAGCGTCAGAAAAGTCCAGATGGCGTGGTGGAGCGCCCCTCGGGCCTACCGCGGCCTTTCTGTTCTCTTAGGTTCTTAGTCTTCGGCCTTCCTTCCCCTCCGCATTCGTCACAGCCGATAATTTCTCCCTCCAACCTTTCAGGTCGTTTTCCGGCCGCTTGGCCACCTTTGGTGGATTACCTTTCCCTTCAAGTACCGTTATCCGCTCCGCTCTCAAGTGTATATGTGGCTAGTGAGTAACGTTTTACCAGCTCCATACGTACTCACCCGCTTTCCTCCATACCCTTTGGGAGTAGTAAAGAGAGGGAGGTCTAGCACTTTATAACGTTCTTCCGGTTGACCATCAGGCACTCAGCGCTATGGACTACTGGAATAGGAAGGCGCATCGCTCCACTCAACGTGCCCTGACTGAGTGCATCATCCGTACGCCGTACGGATTACGGGGTACATTACCCTACAGATACGGGACCCTCTGTATTCCCGGTCCAATCCCAACGACAACTTTCTAGAACTGACAACCTGCACGTTGCACCCACACGTAAATATCGAAGAATTGAGCGACTCAACTTGTCAACCCACCAAGAGAACCCGGAACTTGAGTACTCGAAGCACCATCGTCATTTGCCTTTGACACGATAGAATGTACTCCGTAGCCGTCCTGTTGGTCGACCACGGTGCCGTCTTCCTTGACCAGCTCCCCAGTATCCATTCACTAGCGGGCATCGACATCGGCCGAGAATACCCCGTAGATATGTGGGATTCTCTCCGCTTGTGGTCACAGGTTGCAACTCCTCTCTCAAACTTCTCCAGCTTTATCATAAATTTACACAATGATTGCACCTCCAGGCCCCATCCCCTCCATATTACTCCGCGTTTCCTCCGCTCTCTGAGCTGCTCCAGGGTCCAGGGTCCAGGACAAATACTATCCGTAAGTATTGGCGGGTCTGTATCACCTTTAAACAGCCACACATAACCCAGCCACACAGCCATGAATGCCAACCGTACTTTTGTGCCTACCTGATTACCGACTAGGCGGCGAGGCCCGTACCTTTTGTTCACTAACGAGGGACCTTGTGATGCCGCGATACGCCTAGATTCACCTGGCATGTACGGAGTAAGGTACACGGACCTGCTTCCACGTTGATTCCTGATTTGTTTCCCGCCAGAACACCTAGTTCACCGCCTTCGAAAATAAGTGATGCTTTGTGTATATTCCCACAAGTAATAATCACGAATCTTCATTCGTGCCCGTGGCGTCAATCGCCTCCGCCACAACAGTCCGTACCTGGTTGAACTGCTCCCATCTCCGTCTCCGCATCCCTTTCATCGCCAAGTCCGGGAACTTCCTGCTTTGAACTTATCTTAGTCATTGGTTTGTGCCGCTTCGTCTACACCAGTGCTGACACCTCTGTCTCCTCCTCCGTCTCGAATCATTCGTCTTCATCAGAGACCAGACTCCGTTGTCGATTAACTACCTAGAGCCTGTACGCCGGCTCAATCGCTGCACATAATTGCCACATTTCACTCGGCTCTGACGGATAGTTTCCACTGGCCGATAACTTCTGCTTTTCCTGTCCGGCGCTGACGGGGAAAGCACACTATGCATGAGCAGCCTGAGTCTCTTACGCGCCTCGGTACATGAGCAGGCCGCAAAACGACCGGCCCCGCACCGCCTCGTGCCCGCAAAATCCACCTTACGCCGGACCACAATCGGATCAGGACCGGAAGGAGACAGAGATATGGAGACGCCGGGTAGCACTCGGGCTTCCTCGCCACCTCAAGTGACATCGACTAGAACGCATCTTCCCGGTCTGCCAGCAAGCACCGATCGCGATTCTGCCGCCGACACTGCACCCTTTGCCCTGGCCCGGTTTGAGTTCGAGACGGGCAAGGGTAATGAGGGCACCAAGATCCTGATGATGGAATGGGACCTATCGATCTCTCCGGCTTTCTCTGCGCCGGGATCCGACCTCTCATCACCGCCAACCAAGTCTTGGGACGTTTCATGGGGTGGCAAGACAAACCATCTTCCAGCAAGCGACGACGTCAAAGGAACACACAAGCGCGTGTATTTCCTACTTCCCCCAGGTGCCATTGTTCCTCCCACCGTTGCCATTACTCATCCTGACGGTACCGCCCTCACCATCAAACCCCTTCCGGCCATCTTCCCGCCAGGCCTGGCTGCCGGTGAATTAGATACTGGAACACGTGGGGTTCTTCACACCATCTGGGCCAAGAAGAGACTCCGTGAACTTCAACAAGAGATCGATGCGGAGAAGATGACAAACGCCGAAAGCGTTGGCTTAGAAATGGTGCTGCAGGAGCAGCAATGGGTCATCGATCACTTTGGTCTTACTCCGAATGATAACGCCGTTGGAGGCCGGACGACGTCCGCATCACAGATTCTACCTAGTCCCATCTCTCCACATACTCCTACCGGTCGCCGACTGGGAGAGAAGCTCAAGGGACTGAAACTCGCGACCTCTGCAGCAGATTTGATTGCTGGATCGGCTGGTGAGATGCTCGATGAATAATATTGTACACATTCACCAAGCATGACTGACCTGGGACTCGCAGACAAGAACGCGCATGTTCGGGCCATATCGTTCTCGCCCGCCCCTAATGACATGGCTGTTCATTCATTCTCCAACCCTGCGCTGGAGGCGACGACTGGCAACCCGTTACTCGGAGGCTCGGCATCGTTGGACGCCATGCTCGCAGGGACCGGCCTTCACTCGAGGCAGCAAGACCAGGACCAGGAGGAGGAGCTTTTTGCACTTCCGATGAGCCCTCGTAGTCCTGAGATGAAACGGAGCCCCTTCAGCTTCGCTTGAAGGTAGTGGTTGTTCCGCGGTCAACACCACTTCCCGCTCCAGTGAATTTGAGTATGATGCTTAGGGAAAGGGGGCTGCGATATCCCTTGGACGTATCTCGTATGTGAGCGAATACAAAGAATGACGGCTGGAGATGTACAGCACACCTTCGTAGACGGACCACGAACGCCCAGACAGGACTCATACGCTGCACGTCATAGCGTTTTTGTTGTCATTTTTGCCGTATTCTGTTGGGTTTGTAGGCTACTCTCCTACATGCTTTCTTTCCACTCTTCCATTCTATAGAACGTTTCTTCCAGACATCTGCTAGTTAGATGTAGGCCTTCGCGTTGCGTCCTCGTCAACAATACTACCACCGAGGAGCAACGTTAGAAAGAAGCAGAAAAGTCATCGATATCCCATTACGGCGATTATCTTGCGCTAGCTCCCATTCCTCAGTACAGCCGAGTGAGTCGCTTTCAATATTGGGGGGCCACCTTCCCCATTTCGCCTTCACTTGAAACTCTCAAACCCGTTGCCGGACTCGTTTCCATGTTATCTCCAGCCACCAACGCGACCTTCGTCCCAACGCTCCTTCCTCTCCTGCCGAAGATAGTAAAGCACCTTGGCGTCTCGATATCTCTTGATCCAGTCCAACGTCTCTCTCTCTGACGCATACGCGCCATCCCCCTCCCCATCGATAAAACTCTCCTCTAGGACATGGCACACCGAGGCCTGTTCATGAACACCTTGCCCCAGGCGTTGATACATAGCAGCTGGCGAGAAGGGTGCCAAAGCGTGGTCCATGTCGGATTGCTTCTGCCGCCATTGGCGCTCGAGCGCATGCGTTGAAAGAAGCTGCGCTTGCGTCGTGGACCGCTGGTGGGCCAGACGAGCCTCGAGCTCGACTAGCCGTGACGCAAGCTCGAGATTCTCGTCGAGGGCCGCTTGAAGGGCCTGGTGAGATGACGAGAGAGACGGATGGATTGTGCTTGGTGCATGTGTCAGGGCGTTGAGGAGGTCCACGTTGGTCGCTATATCAGCGAGATCATGTTTTCTAAGACACATCATCAGCTTTTCACTAGCTTCGAGAAAGAATAGTGACGGCAGGTGATGCCACTATCGTATCCAAGAACTTACGCCTTGTCTTGCAACACCTTGGGAAGCCACTGTTCACCGGGGTCAGGCACAGGCTCAGGCCGGGCGATTTCGAGCCCGGCTGGCTGAGAGACCTGGCTCAAACGGCTCCCACCTGCACCCTCCGCTTCCGGTCCGGTGCCATGCCGAGGCGAGTTGAGCATATTCGGCGTGCCAATACGACTTGTGTCGTGGCTGCCCGGCTTGGGAGGAAGCACTGGTGGTGGAGGATCATGCATGATGTGGACAGACGCAGGTAGGTGATTAAATGTTGTAATAAGGCATAACAAGAGGATCCTTATTTTCGAGACTCAGGAAGGGTTTCAAGCCACTAATACAACTTGGTAGGCTGGCCAGATGTACTTCCTCGTCAACGTTGGTTGGGAGGGGATGGTGCTACAAGACGGAATGTGGCTGTGGTTCAGGCAGAGCCACAGAGCATAGAGGTTCACAGTGTTAAGTAGGGACCTTGGTCAGGGTGCCCCACAACCGACAACTGAATCCAGCCAATCAAAAGCAGACTTGCTACTGAGTTATACTTATTGCATAATTAAGCTCGTGTATACGTACCATGATATCACTCAGTTATAAGTAGGAACTCAACATGAAAATGGCAAAAAAGGCATGAAATACATATTTTGTTGCTGTTATACTCTTTATTCGTGAGCCTTCAAAGTCTGGAACTAACTACAACGGCCCCCTGCATTAATCAACTTGTTAGCCGATTGACTCTGGCATGTTCCAGGCACAAAATGCCCGGCCGAAGTCTCCCTGAGTGGCCAGCCATATGCCAGCTCAATCTCATGTAGACGTAACGCATCTCCAGTAGAGGCCCCAGAGCCCCTTCCTTATCCCTAACAAACGTTGACTCGCCAATAAACTGCCCAATTCAGTGCTTTACAGACCAAATATCCCGCGACCATCCCATTTCACGTAGCTTCTTGCTACTCGAATTGGCCGCCTTCTTCTCGCCCGATGCAACGGCCAGAGCTTTGCTGCAGGCAGCAAAGCACTCGACCAGTTCCTTCATTCGCTTAGCCTTGGTGAAGCACTCTGCCACATCAGAGCCCTTCTCCGCAATAGTAGCCGCCAGCTCCATACACTCCAGGAAGTTATCCCTTGTCAGCGTCGTGCCAGCGAAATGGAGCGTGCTGACGTAGGCGAGCAGTGTCTCGGGGAGATATGCTTCCCGCAGCGCTTGCAACTCTTTATTTTCTTCTGTCGAATGCGGGTCAGTTCTGCTAGAGAACACGAGTAAGGAGCACGGCTTACCTTCACAAAGCAGCCAGCCATCCAGCAGAGGTCGCACGTGTTCTTTGGCTGACTTGACCTCGTTGCCAACCTTTGTCCAGAAATCTCGTTTAACAGACGGGTCCCTGTACGTGGTTAGCAAGACGTTGTAGCCAGAGATCAGTTCGGCATACTCTCTTGACAGTTCCGCTAGTGAAGCGACAGTCTCCATTGTGTCCAAGGCTCTGACAAGGCACTCAAGTTCGCGTAATATCTTGGCGTCCGACACAACTTGGCTTGGGGAGAGGTCGACCGCACCCGCGGCTTCGAGCTGGTTGATCCAGAATTCACCATCTCGTGTCCACCAAAGTTCGTCTTCTTCTTGTTCAGGGGAATCGCTTGAGCGCATGCGTACAATGTCGTTGAATGGTACACGATTCGCGAAGCTTCTGGCCGCATTCAGGTGCATGGTCTCTGTGCGGTTTGGGGTCTGGTTAGCGGATAGACGTCATCTGTTTGGTAAGGGCAGGGTCATACTTAGGAAATGCTTGTAAATCGCCACACTGATGGAAAAGACATAGGGCCAGGCCTCGTCGACGAGTAGCAGCCATTCCACTGATCGAATCAACCGCTCGTCGACCGGATCGATGGATTCGGGATCTTCCCCGAAGAAGTCCGTTTTGATGGAACGTCCGTACTTCAAGGACGCTGGGCCATCGTCCATGATCTGAAACTCCCGCATTGCATCGTTTTGAGTAGTATTGGGGTCCAAGGTCTGGAACAAGAACTGTGGTTGTGCCTTGACAAACTCTACCACGTCCAGCTCTGCTTTGCGAATTAAGCTGAGCTGGTCTAGACGAGCGTCGCTATCGGTGATGGGAAGTAAGTTTGTGCTTAACACTTGGAAGGCTCTTGATGGGTGGAGCCTGGAGCAGTACAGTGGTATCAACTCCTCCAAGCCTGCTAGACGGAGCAAGCTGATGTACTGTGTAATTGTGTTCTCTTGCAGTTCACGCCGATCATGATCCGAACTCATGGTCACGGCGTTCGATTGTAGGGCCCCAAGTTTATCGAGTGTATCGAAGATGATGAGTGCGTGAACAGCAATTCGAAGGCCATCGGGTTTTTTTATGTCGGCGAACTTTTCCGTCACTACGTCGACGTTGCGACAGCTGTCATCGGGCATGAGCAGAGATGCCTCCTTTGAGTTTGCCCTCTGTGTGATGGCCACACCCTGCTCATAGAAGTGTCGTTGGAGGTCTTTCGAGATGATGGCGGCCTGGAGTGCCTTGACAGGTTCCAAAGCTTCCTTGCTCGTATGCGGGCTTGTCTCGAGATTGCGGATCAGGCGTTGCTCCAACGTGGAAGCATCGCCATGGAACTGAACTGCGTCGAAAGCGGCGAACGATGAGCGGATGGTTGCTGATGCTTCCGGTGAGCATTGGCTGAGTAGGAAAGTATCGAACTGCGTGCGAACCAAAGCATTGTAGTGCATGAACATAAAGTCGTCCCATGTTTTGCATACTCTTTGCACGCTAGGGATATCTCCCGACAACACTCCGTAAACTGCTCTCTCGATATCATCGGTGCCGCCCTGACGAGCAAGAGCAAAACACATGCGTCTCCAGAGAGCAAGCGCTGAAGGGTCTTCGACAAGATTCGTCTCCCCATGGTCACTTGCGAGAGGTAAGGCGGACATGGACACAGCCCTCCAAACTTCCGTTCTCTCCAAGCACCACTCTCGCGTAGTCTCTAAGCTACAGCCTCTTCGAAGAAGCTGAAAGCAGCCCACCCAGATGGCTCTCTCAAAGTACTCATCCTGCGGCTCCAACTTCCGACCCTGTCTGATTACAGAGTCTGGGTCTAGTTCGGCAACAAGTGGTGCCTTGTCTGAGTTGACCAGAGAGCGTGCCACCTCCGGAAAATGCACATCAAGCGGGCGTGAAGAACCAATCACACTCTTCTGCAGCTTGATGGCCGACCTTGTGTGTATCCAACCGTGGGCGATGATGTCTCCTCTGTCGGCGTTTTGCTGGAGCTCCCGAACGAGGTCGTCGATGTCGGGCCCGGCTCTCGCGCCTTGTTGCAACCATTCAAGAATGGTCTTCCTCTCCGTGGCCAATTGATCGTTTGCGAGGAATGCCCTCCACAGATCTCCTCCCTTGTTCGTAGCTTGCTGGTTTGCCGAGGCTTGAACAGAATATCTCAGCGGGATCAGGCGACGGACAAGATCCCACGTCTGCCTTTCTTGCTCCCACACTCGAATCTCTTCTGAACCTGCCGCAGCCTCTGCCTCTTCTTCATCGTCCAGGTCCATCTCGTTGTCGCCAATTGAACCCTGACGACGGGGCTTGCGTAACTGCGACAGCTTTTCGGCAGCATAATCGTGGTATGCGTTTACCAGCCCCAAGACCCTTGCGCGTTTCTCCTGATCGGTGCCTTGATCCGCAAGACAATCGTCGAGAATGTTCGCGAACACCTCAACTTCAGGCCCAATTCCGTCCATTTTCGGGAGTGCAACCGTCGAACGAAGTGGGATATGGGGAAATATCGATTGGAAGTTTGCGCGAAACGAGGGCAGAGGTGTCCGGTCGCCTCATTAACTTCAATGTGGAATGGTCGATCTTTGGTCGTCGGCAAGGTTGCGCATGGGACCAGGGTAGATATGGAGTCCCGATGCGATCCTAGGGGGCAGCGGTTAGGCAAATCAGGACTTGCAGACAAAGCGAAGTGATCCAGCGAGTCATCTGCTTACGATCTTTGAATGATTGCGGATATCGGTGTTTTTAGGCCGTGGATGGATCAAGCCATGAATGCTGCGATGATTTCCAGGTGTGCTTCGCAGCGCCGAAGATGTAAGAAGCTGCAACCTATTAAGCCCTGGTAGCACGCAGAAACTTATCAAGGCCCTCAACAGAGTTGAGAGAGTTCCCACGTATCGACGCTTGGGATAGAGGGAACAGTCCAGAGCAATTAGACTTGAATAGTGGGATTCCGATTGGGATCTCTGATCAGACCTCCCACCCTACCGGAAAATAAATAAATAATGAAAACAAATCAGCTGGCAGCTCGATGAGGCGGCTAAGGTACCTTACCTCACCTTGAGGGAGCAACAGACGTCCCAGGTGAAAGGCAGGCCAGCGTAAGGCTGGTCTGTGCGCTTGGTAGTCGCGCGTCGCGTCAAAACTCTGGGCAATACCAAACACTGTATACACTTGCCCTAGATGGGGCGAGAATGGACTGTGTTAATGCCTAGATAGACACAGTAGGGACCCGCTTTGGCAGCCTTTATCAACACACACTGTTGGAAATTTTCTTTGAATTTTCTTTCTCTTTTTCTTCTTCAATGTCAAGGCTTTTGTATTAGAGTCTCGGAATAAGCACTCAATGCTTGTTCAGATCCCAAGGGGTCTCTTAGCGCGCTCAACGAATGCCTAGAAGAATTCTCTCTTTCTTGAATGTTACCAGATCTCTCTACTCAGGTTAACGTATGTCTATGGAAGAGTGTACATTTCAGCATCCTAATGACTACTTTTTGGGAGAGGCGTTGCGCGACTCCTCGCGCATCCTCGTCAATTTCAGTCGAAGCAGATCCGGCTTGGGACAGCTTGCCGACACAGCGTCGTCTCCTTTTGACTGGTAAAAAGCCTCGCAACACTCATATAAGGCTGTAATCACCGACTGGCACTTCTCCTCCTTGTACCCATGTTTGGTTAAGCAGTCTGAGCCTACGTTAGCCACAATGGCGCCGAATCAGCCTCGCATCCGGTATGAAATGACCGTAACGAAGCCGTGAGAAGGATCATAATGAAGACCTACCCTGAATAGCGCACTGCTCAGAATTGTGTCAGCGCTGAACCGGGGAAAGTTAATCCCTGGGTTGGACGTAAGCTTACAGCACGAGGATGGCACGGCGGGTTCGCCTTCAGGTCCTCATTCTGGCCCTTCAAATCCGTCGTCAGTAGTTACATAATAAGACGGAACGGTACCGGAGGGTCTACCATGATGGTCGCTCACGGCGGCGCTGCAACGTCAAACGTCGAATTTGAGAGCGGTTCTAATGATCGAAATATTAGCGAGGAGCCGCTATCAATATTGAGCCTCAATTTCATGACTGTCTCTTGATGTGCCTATAAACGGTAGAGTAATTACGCAAAGACGGGCGAACCGGAGGGAGGATGCTTGAGTACCTACGTGCTACTGTGCAATTCCACGAATCTTCAGGAAGGGTCAAAGATTCAGATGGAAAATAAGGTACCTGAAGGAGTTGAGGTGTTCGTGTAGGTAGGAAAGAAGGTATCTGACTTCCAACCCGGTCTTACCTTGAGGCTTAGGCAGGCGACATCTGGGGTGGGAAAGTGTACTAAGCCTCTGAAAATCCAGGCTCCACATCGTCCAATCAAGTCCCCTCCATCCCACCTTCACCCAGTGTCTCTGCCGACCTCTCTAGGTCCCTAGTGCGCCTGGGCTGTCTTTCGGACTCAGATGCGCCTCCCACCACTGCTCCCCACCTTCCGCCTCTCGTCAACTCTACAAGTCTCCTTCTTCACAACATCGCGTGTTTCTTTTTCCGCGCCCATCTCTCGTGTTACCTTATCACAGCCACAAGCGTGCCGCCTCCTCACACCATCGAGATTACGCTCTACAGCGCAAAGTACGTGGATACCATATCGTCAGCCCTCCATCCGTTATCCGACCTCCATCAATCTACTCCCGTTGACCCCTCCAAGGTCCAAACGATCGACACCCTATAAACGAATCTTGGGCCGTTACTAACATTTCCTCCGTCAGCGATAGTCGCAAAATGTCTGGCGAACACGAGAACGGAAGCCCGTCCGCTGGCGGCCAAGATGCTGCGCCTGCCGTCGAGCACCTGAACATCAAGGTTACCGACAACAATAACGAGGTCTTCTTCAAGATCAAGCGCTCCACCAAGCTCGACAAACTTATGTCGGCCTTCTGCGACAGACAAGGCAAGGCTATGAACTCTGTCCGGTTCCTGTTCGAGGGCCAGCGTGTTCAACCCACGGATACCCCAGACACGGTAAGCGCTTGCTTCGTAGCCTGCACCGACAATGCACACGATACTAACGTGAGCGGCATTACCAGCTCGAGATGGCGGACGGAGACACCCTTGAGGTGCACCAGGAGCAGGTTGGCGGTTCTCTTTAGTCAGAAGGAGGCAAGAACTACGGGAAAATACATGGTGGGAGTAGTCGAAGGAGCGATGGATTTCTTGCTTCTGAGAAGGCCTCGGCTGTCGCAAATGGCGTACATGGATGCAACGGATTCTCCTTACAGGGCCATATGAAGACAGTCAATGACGATTATGACTTTTACCACTTATTTCTTTCGCCTTTCCCCTATAGTACCTTACCCAGCCAAACGCTATGCCCATTACTCAAGCTCACAAACAATACCGGATGCTAATTGACGACAAACGCGCAGTCGCTTCCCCTATTCCTTGATGCCAACTCCTATCCTAGAGAACTAAAAACAACGCCCGGTCAAACAGTCTACTCGTTTACGTCGTTATGCCTTGAGTTCTATCATGCGGCATCCTGTGCATAGCACCATCGTCCTGTCGCCGACCTCTTTGGGAAAGATCTGGCCGTCGTCGAAACCGCCCTGGCAGGAAGCGCAGCGGAAACACTCATCATGCCACTCACCCCCCAGCGCTCGAATGTACTGTCCGATGACAGCAGTCTTGCACTTTTTGCACTTGGGCGCCCGTCTCTCTGTCCGCTTTGTCTGGCAATTGACACACCACGCATATCCATCCTTTTCAATGTGAGTCATGCCCTTCTCGAATGGATCGCCGCATTCTGCGCAAAAGAAGTGCCCGTAGTGCCAATGTTCTCCGAGGGCGACAACATGCTCCCCGAGAATGGGCGTCTTGCAGTGTTTGCACCTCGGTGCGTACAGTTCGTGCCAGTCAAGGTGACAGTAGAAACGTAAGCGCTCGTCGCCGTCTTCGGCCATGGTCTTGCCCGGCGTCTCTTCCAACATCTCGCCATGGGCGCGACGGTGGATTCTGTCAAGACGCTCTTGGCGGTGAGCCTCTGGCTCTGGGCTGATCTCCAGAGCCTCGAGACCAGTACCGCAAGAGAAGCAGCTAAAGCATTGAGGATGGAAGCGCTCTGAAGATCCGCCCAGAGCGACAAATCTATCTTCAATGGGGAATCCGCATTCGTGACACAAAGCAGTTGAGTGATTGCTTGTCCCAGGAGCTGGCGACCAGTGACGTTGCGGGCGTCGGAAAGGGTGGCCCCTGGATGCTGTATTGGGGTCCGGTAAGGGCCGCGGCTTCGCATTCGAGGATTCGTCGTCGTCGGGGGTGACGATGGAGGGTATGGCGGGACTAGAACCAACTGGCTCATCCGCTCCGTCAATGTTTATGACCGGAACGATCGGGTTGCTGCGTGCTCTGTTCGACGGAGACTCCTCCGGCGCCACCACGATACAAGGAATCTCCATCGGCTGGTTGTTTTGGCTCGCGGCTCCTGGCCTAGCATCAGTTCTCTCCTCTGGAGCCTTCCACTTCGAGTCGAAGCTTACAATCGGCCGACCAGGGCGATCACTGACAGCTGTGGGCGTAGGCAGCTTCGCGCTGCGGTCCTTCAGCTTCATGCTTGTGGCCCCTCGGATATCTTCACTGCGTATCTCCATGCCGTTCTTCTTGGGGACCTGGTCGTCCGACAACACAGGCTTCGGACTCGATGTGTTTGTCGTGTACTGTGGGTTGCGCGATTGCGAAGGTGGGTTCCGTTGAATCTCTACATTGCACCTGGGTTTCCAGGGTCCAACACGGTCCGACTGTGAGTTTGTAGCGAATCGGACTTGATTTTGGGGGTTCTCTGGTTTGTCCACCAGAGGTAAGTCTGCTGTCGACGCTGACTTTGTCTTGGCCTTGTCTTCCCGCACATTGACTTCTGGCTCTTCCCAAATCTGGTCACCGGAGAATGGCCTTTGAACTTCACCGCTGATGTTCCGCTTCATGCTGCTGCGACGCTGACCAGAGCCCCTGGCTTTTGGAAGGGGTCGGGCGCCGGCTGGGCCTGAAGTTGTCAAGTCCATCGACTGTCGCTCGGGGCTCTGGCTCCCCCCCTCAACGCTAGTACGCGACAAAGCCAAGGAGGGTCGACTTCGCCGAGAGTGACCATCGCTGTCGGTAGAGCTGCCAGAGACCGACCTGGACTTATCCCTAGCTAGGCCATCGCCATGTTTGCCCACGCTGGCGGTGCGAGCATGAGCATAACTATTTTTTCTCATATGAGGCTTGTACCGATACGGAGCGTCCTTGTCAGGGGGGCGAACTCCATTCTGATGCCGCCAGACCAGTTCTGAGGCCTCGTCGAGTGCAGCATTATAAAGGCGGGTCTCGTCGTCTGGCGTCTCTGCGGGTTCGTCCTCGACATGTCCTCCCTCGCTCTTGATGGACATGTCTTCCATAGCATGTCGAAGTGACACAGCCTCTTCTTTTTCCATCCATCGCTGCCCCCTTTCCATGTAGGTGGCAGTCGGCACAACCTGAGAGGGCTTCAGAGGTGACGTGGGGCGATACGCTTGATACTCCCGTCCTTGGGTGCTCGGAATAGAGTGACGAGACGATATGCTGGCGTTTATAGAAGGGGGATGTGGCTGCGATGGCACATCGATAGAACCCGGAGTGGAGAGTGCAGGACTTTCGCATCGAGGAAGGGGCTCGGAAATGCTATGTTCGATTGAGGGGCGTTTGGATCTTATGCTTGACGAAGAAGGCGGCAGAGGTCTTGCTCCGCCGGGGCGTGCGACTCTGTTGGATCTGAGGTTTGCCAAGTAGGCAGCTTGGAAGTTCGGAATCAGCATTCAGGACGGGCAAAAGAACAGAAGCACTCGGAAGCATTCCTCACCGAATTGTTCGTTATTCATGTAGCTCGGCGATGGAGGAGTCACTTTCCTCGTCTTCTCGGTACTCTTTCTGCGATGCATGATGGAGAGCTGGCGTGCGGCAAGCACGTCGTCGACCGATCAGTGGAGACGGGCAGTGGTGGTGGCGGGCAGTGGGAACAGGGTGAAGATCGATGCGGTGACTGGGGAACATGCGGTGAAGGTCTAGTGGATTCGCTTGGCTATGGATGTATGAATAGGTGATGATGATGCATCTATTTCTGAAAGAAAGATACTTAGACTTTTTGTGACACTCTGAGGGAGGGCAGTTCCGATTGACGGCGATGAAGTTATACTTAAGCCTTCCATCCGTAGCTAAGGTGAGGAAGTTGGGGAGGTATTTGGCGGTGGGATGTTGTCGGGGCAACGATGACTCTCTCTTCTGCGACAACGAAACATGGATCCAGGCCGACGGGGTGAGCTTAAATTGTCGACAGTCGCTACGTCCGTTGCCTCTCTCTGTAATGAGTACCACCTGCCTAGCTACGCAGGGGGGGTTCCGTGCCGTCGTCGGGGACACGCCCGTTACTTAAGGGAGTCTTCTCAGTGCAGTGGTGTGCACCTGTGACCTGAAGCCCTTCCAGGTTAGTCCCTCGCGCCGCGCGTGTTCCCAGCGCTTCTCAGGGAGACAACCACAATGACAGCCCCACAGTGGCAGACGCCTCCAGATGTTCCATCGCTCATGCCCGTGTCGTGTCGTGTCGTGTCGTGTCGTGCATTTGTCGACTTCTTCGAAACTCACTACTTTCTCTCTACTAATCCCTTGCCCCCAGGCCATGAACTTATCTTTCATATTTTAACCCTCATTTTCAATACCTCTTGTTGTGTGTCCCTCAGACTCCTTGGGAGTAGTTGTATAATGTAGGCCATCGGGTAGCTGTACCCCTATTCAAGTATCTGACAATTGGGATTCTGTGCAATTCAGCATGTTTTGACCAGGTTGCCCCAAAAGCAAGTACGCCGTTCTGGGTCAAAATGGGTGGGTGGTGCCTGAGACCAAAGTGAGGATGGTAGAGCAACATATGCGTAAACAAATATGCCGTACCTTGCCTCGATCTTTACCATCTACAGGGTGACGCTCCCGATGCGATGCTACTGGGCCCGTTGTCAGAGTGCATGAAGTTCGTTGCTGCGCATGATGGCTCATATATTGACAATTTCTTGCATATCTGCGTTGTCAAGCAACCACGTCGTCGAAGATCCCCACAAATTCGTTGCAATGCAAAGACCTGCCCTGCTGGTTTGAATCCGTGAATAATGTACATCGGGAGGAGCTATCAGCTGGAGAAGACACAAAGTCAAGATTCTGAATGTCTCCGAGTCTCGAAGGACCCGTCGTATTACCATCGCAATTCGCCGGGCTTTGCGTCCTTGTCCTTGTTACCACTTCCCTGGGCTTGACCTTGGCCTAAAGCCAGACCGTTTGGGTCGTTTGCGGGTTTTGGTCCATTGTCAAAGCCTAGGTTTTTAAACTCATCCTTGGCCATGAGATTTCTGAGAGCAGAGTCATTAGTAGCCAGAAGGTCGTCGACGCACTATTCCATCAACAGTTGTATGATGGGAAACAGGCTTACCGATCCATTCGACATGCGAGGTAGGATTTAGCAAGGTCACGACATTCAGAGTCGTTTACTCCTCGTACTTTCTTGATGCACTCAAGATAGGTAGCTATGACATGCTTGCATTCGCCTGATCGGTTGCGTATCAGCAGACCAAGGACCTCAATGTTGGGTGGATTGGGGCACACGTTTCGCAACTCACCGTCATGGTCAAGTGGAAAACTGCCACGTTGAGGCCTAGACAAATCAAGGTCGCCATACGTTAGCCTGCACCACCTTACATATTGCGTTTGCTGTTGTAGAGAGGGGCCGGGCCAGGTACGAACGGTATGGGCTTGGCATTGGCCTGACGAGAACCAGGACCACCAAGTTGACTCATGATAAAGAGTATGCGGATTTCGGTACCGAGAAATTATGGGCAGGTCCGGCCAAAGGCTTGTCTCGAAAAGCTGCCGCTGTGTCGAGGTGAAGAACTTGTTTTGCCTGGATATATCTATATGAGCCTGAACATTGAGGGTGAGAAATCTGAGCCCCCGGAGCTCGGACAGAACGGCACCGCAGCTTCATTTACTTACTGATTGCTTGTATGATTTACTTCCACGTATGAGTGTCTTCTGATTGCCTCTTTGCTGGAGTTGTGGAAAAGCTCACTTATGCTGGCCGTATAGGGGGATCATTGGCTACGTAGAAGAAGGTCCGACGAAGGCGAGTGGAACGATGTTGTTCGTTTCTGTGCTCCGTACCTGAGGTACCAATGTACAGACAATGTCATTCTTGGCACCCGGTGACACCCAAAAGTCCACGACGGGACGCTATGGCTTTTTCAGAGCACCTGTCGCTAAGGAAGAAAAAGCCTCCCTAAGTAAGGTAGCTAGCTAGCTATGCACCTATGCTAAATATCAATACAATCTTCAGTGTTAAATCCTACCTTAGGTAGTACCTTGATTAATCCTATCTTACATCTGGTTTTGCCACGGGGAAGATTCCGGCAGAGGAAAATCCCTCGCTCCGCCATGGCCAGCTGATGCTTCAATTCTTGAGGTCCTGCATCCGTACCTTACTGAACGCTTGCCAGTGCACGCACCCTTGGAGCTGCCAGCTACCTACGTACCTCACCTATTTTCAGGGAGGAGTGAAAAGCCCAGGAGTCTACAGACTTTCTAAAATAGAAAATGAGATTAAATACACCTTCTGTTTCTTCATTTTCAGGAAATAAAACTTAACTGCAACGAACATTGTTCTCACTCTCTCAATTAGGAATATCCTACCTAATAGCTTGTAGGTACTGAGAGTGATGTAACTGAGCCTGAGGTGTCAGGGACTAACAGATCCGTGGATGTGTATTAGCTAATACTTCGAACTATTCTCCTGTACCAAACATTACGTCCCTTGCTGGAGCTTTCTGCGCAGGCGACCTGGTGGATCGCGCATGAATTCTCGAAATTGAACGACACGCCGAAGAGCATCTACGCGCATCGGCTCAAGCAAAGCCCCCCTTGGCCCAAAAATTCCATCTCGTCTGAAGGGGCTCCGTTCTCAACTTTGTAGTTTTCCCATCATCTGCCTCGCCCTCAACCTGCAGAGGTAGCCGACAACTCCCGACGAGCCTGCGCTTGCTCCCTTCACCTGCACTAGGTGCCCTGCCTTGTTTTGCGTCGCCCTGCGCTGCAGACTCCCCTCGGCCTGGCCTTTCGCCCTGTGAAAGAGCTTCCACTATTTTGCCTCCCGAAGCTCTCCTCGACATCCACGGCTGCTTCACTCCTCACCATCACCACCTCTTCCAACCCGATTCAGTGGGAGTCTCTGCCTCCTAGCGTCACCCAATCACCATGGCGTCCCTAGGAGACGACCTTCTCGGCACTGTCAACAAATTGCAAGACCTGGTCTTCAATACCATTGGCAGTGACTCGCTCGATCTTCCCCAGATTGTACGTCGTCTAATGATGGTGCATGAGCCGCCTAGATGCCCAGTCGCTGACATTTGAGCAGGTCGTGGTTGGTTCACAGTCAGCCGGAAAATCCTCCGTCCTCGAAAACATTGTCGGTCGTGACTTTCTGCCCCGCGGAAGTGGCATCTGTACTCGACGACCCCTGATCCTGCAACTCATCAATGTATCCGAGGACGAGAGTGCCCTCGACCCTTCCTCCGACCCCTACAGGTCCCCCGACCTTGCCAGAAGATCCGAATGGGCCGAGTTCCACCATATTCCGAACCGCCGCTTCAATGACTTCTCCGATGTGAAGCGCGAAATCGAGAACGAAACGGCACGTGTGGCGGGCAACAACAAAGGCATCAACAGACAGCCCATCAACCTCAAGATCTACTCGCCGCATGTGCTCAACCTGACGCTTGTTGATCTTCCTGGACTCACAAAGGTACGCCGCCAGACGGGTCTTTCTCGGTGCTAAACATCAAATCCTTAGCATGCTCTAACACAAGCTCTTAGGTTCCCATTGGCGATCAACCCACCGATATCGAGAAGCAGACGCGCAACCTAATTTCCGAGTATATTGCCAAGCCGAACAGCATTGTCCTTGCCGTATCTCCTGCCAACGTTGATATCGTGAATTCGGAGGCTCTCAAACTTGCACGACATGTCGATCCTCTTGGTAGGAGGACAATTGGCGTACTTACTAAGGTGGACCTTATGGATCATGGTACGAACGCGCTGGATATCCTATCTGGCCGTGTGTACCCTTTGAAGCTTGGTTTCATCGGCGTCGTCAACCGTTCTCAGCAGGACATCCAGGGCGCCAAGCCCATGGAGGAGGCTCTCAAGGCCGAATCCGAATTCTTCAGACACCACCCCGCCTACCGTAACATTGCTAGTCGATGCGGCACTCACTACCTGGCCAAGACGCTGAACACGACCTTGATGGCTCACATTCGCGAGCGCATGCCCGATATCAAAGCTCGCCTCAACACCCTCATGGGACAGACTCAGCAGGAATTGGCGAGCTATGGTGACATGCACTTTAGCGGAAAGGAGCACCGTGGATCCCTCATCTTGCAGCAAATGACACGCTTTGCTACGTCATTCATCTCATCCATTGATGGTACCTCAACCGAAATATCGACCAAGGAACTTTGCGGCGGTGCTCGCATCTACTACATCTTCAACTCTGTCTTTGGCATGTCTTTAGAATCCATCGACCCGACTTCGAATCTTTCGGCCCTGGACATTCGAACGGCCATCCGCAATTCCACCGGTCCTCGTCCCAGTCTATTCGTGCCCGAAATGGCCTTTGACCTTCTCGTCAAGCCTCAAATCAAGCTTCTCGAGATTCCTAGTCAGCGATGTGTAGAGCTTGTTTACGAGGAGCTCATCAAGATTTGTCACACCTGCGGCTCCACCGAACTGTCTCGATACCCGAGACTGCAAGCTAAGCTGATTGAGGTTGTGTCAGATTTGCTGCGAGAGCGCTTGGGGCCGACTTCTGGTTACGTCGAGTCCTTGATTTCGATCCAAAGAGCGTATATCAACACTAACCATCCCAATTTCCTCGGTGCTGCCGCTGCCATGAGTCACGTTGTCAGCAACAAACAAGAGAGGGAGCGAAAGCGCTTGATCCAGGAAGAACGGGAAAGACGGGAGAAGAGGCGTCTGAAGGAGCTGGGCGCTAATGGCACCGAAGGCCCCGAGGGCGAGGAGGAAGAGACGGCTGTCGTTGAAAAGGCCGAATCGAACTCTCTTCGGAAGCAGGCAGCCAAGGGCGCACGCAGCTTGTCACCTGGCGTGCGGGAAAATGGCACCACCGGTCTTAATGCGGCACTCAACGGGGCAAGGTCGGCTTCTCCGTCAAGATTCAATGACAAAGGAGTGGGCGGCGCGCGCGACTCTTTCTTGACCTACTTCTTCGGCAAGGACGGTGCCTCTGCAATTGGAGCAGCATCATCACCCAACTCCTCCATTGCCCGACACGTTAGCCAAAGCTCTGAGCCAACATTTTCACAGAGCATCCGGCGAGCTGAAGACAAGGTTGCTTTGCGCACTCCAGTACAATCTTCGTCCCGGGAAGAGCTGGAATTTGGAAAGCCTCCGCAATCTATAGATTATGGGTCCCTCTTCGTATGTTTTTCCACTGTAACATGTGTCTTATTGACGAGTACTAACTCAATGTCCAGGGTACGGCTAGCGGCGAGCCAGCTATGACCGAACGGGAAGCCATGGAGACAGAGCTTATCCGAGCACTCATCTCTTCCTACTTCAACATCGTGCGAGAGTCGATTGCGGACCAAGTTCCCAAGGCTGTCATGCACCTGTTGGTGAACCACTGCAAGGATGTAGTCCAGAACCGACTTGTCAGCGAGCTGTATAAGGAGGCGCTGTTCGAGGAGCTGTTGTACGAAGACGACGGCGTCAAGAAGGAGCGGGAGAAGTGCGAGAAGCTGCTTCAGACGTACAGGGAGGCGGCTAAGATTATCGGTGAAGTGTTATAGATACGTGTTGGAAAAGAAGAAACAGATCTTGGCGAAACCGGCGCCACATGCTTGCATTAACACCCTATTTATCTCTCTGTATCTCTCTGCCTCTCTCTGCCTCTCTCTCTTTTCCCCACTTCATCCCTCAGTGTGTGTCTGTGTCACGCATACATATGTACAGTCTTGGTTTCGTCAGGCGGATAAAAGGCGAGGTCTACGTCAGGGGGGGGGGGGGGGCGTTTCCGACGGAAAAGGCTTATGGGTGTCTGAGAAACGATACCATGATCGTTGTGCTGTACCTCATCTCAGTCTGCTGGGTGCCTATCATGTACCTTTTTGTGTCGAAGAAGTGTGTAATAGAAGATCCTCAACTTCAAAAAAGCCTGAGTAATAATCCGCCGTGGCTGTATTGCAATGCATTAGAAAAATGCGACAGCCATTGTTTCTAGATTTGCCTCACGCACAGAGGCTCTTTGTCCCCGTGTTCAATAGCAATCACGAATATTCAAGCTTGGGTTTCAACTTTCTAGGATTAAGAAACGGACTCTGCGCAAGGGAAAGATGTAAAAAATGGAACTGTTCGGCCGCATTTGACTATTGTGCTATGCTACCTACTCACGTCCCATTAAAGAAGTAAAAGTACAACGTCTAGTATTCGGATTGTCTCTCAACGCCGGGACCCGGCATGGGCGCTGGGTTGTTCGGATCATATTCTACGTAAGAAGACGGACCATTCCTGAACCGGACTCCTGCAGTAGAAGCCTCGCGCATTTGAATGGTGTCCCGTCGTTCACAGGAAATAGGGATCCGGCCCGTCGATTCGTACAGAGCATCATGACGATGGTGTGGGTATGGTCCCCTGTTCTGATGGAGATGACTGTCGTCTTCATACAACGCCCGCTGTGGTTCGCGTTCACGCAAGATCGGCCGACGAACGATGTACTCTCCCTCTGCATCTCGTACGTGTACAATCTCATAAGTCTCTTCATACCCTGCAGACGGAGGGCGAGTCGCGCTTGCGTAGCGCTTTCCGCTGCGGTGATCGCTGCTGCGACCTAGATTTTGAGTACCCACCGGGCTATGGTAGTACGACGACACCTCAGAAGCATGCCCGGCGTGACGAGCTTCATGCGATTCTGCGATGTATTGTCTGGAGTATTCATGACGAGCGTCATCGAGAACTTCTACTTCCGTGTGTCGTCGTTCAGGGTAGTTGGGAATGTCGGATAGAGGGGCGTCGTGCGCTGTGGATCGGCGGTTTTGTTGAACTATCTCAGGCTCCAGCAGTCCAGACTTCGGTATCCGAGCCTGCGCTTCGCGATCTTGGGCAAGATGCGACTCGAGAGCAGCAGTCAAGCTGAAGCTATCGGGATCCCTTACCGGTGGACGTGCAGAATCTGGCTCGGCAGTCCTTGAAGAATGAGGAATCCCCGGGGCGCGTCTTGCTGGGCCTGGTTGTACGTCCTGCGGTAAAATTTGCTCTCGGTCGAGTGACGGACGTGACCGAACCAACCTCGACTGTTCCAATGCATGAGTGGCTCTCTCGTCTTCCTCTACGGGGTATCTACTGCCGTACTCATAACGAGATTCGGCCAGGCCTCGGTCAGGGGCTCGATTTTGCTCGCGGTGACCATGGTGGTTTCCGCCATCCAAAGCTGGAGTACGGTTCGAGAGATAGCTTGACGGAAGGTAATGATCTTTCTCGTTGATGCCACCTGCAGGATGACCACTATCGTAGTAAACGGCACGGCCGCTTTGATCAAACTCTGTCGGAGAAGCGCCCCAAGAGCCTTGTGGGCGAGAGCCAACATTGGAAGACTGAAGCATCCGTCCTAGATCGCGTGCTTCATGAGAAGTGATCAGCGGTTGGTAGGCAAGTGCTACAGATCTCCCATTGTAATCTTCCGTTGAGAGTTGCGTGTCTCGGCGTTGTTGCTCTTGCCCCACGATAGGTGGTTCTTGGATGGCTCCAGGACCATGCCAGGCATTACGTTCATCATTAGAAGCATCTGCATGGGTGGCATAGGTGTGCCGAGCATAATCTGTGGTCTGATCTGAATGGCTGGGCTGTGACACCCCGCCCAGAGGCCACGCGACCCCAGATTGTTGCGAAGGCCTGGCGGGCTTCTTGAAGATCCAGGGGGCTGCTTCGTTGACGAGATTGAACTTGTGTCCCTTATTGCCAATAACGGCTTTCAAGTCAGGCATTTCTGTTACGTCCGGCATCAGGACCATATCTTGGGTCCAATCGAGTCCTGGCCCCACCTGCTGGAATCCAACATGTTGGTTCTCGAAGTGATTGACGAGCTGCGGGAGTGAGAACGTGGTGCGTTCTGGATTAACTGGTGGCCCTAGACCCAGTGTGCAGGATCTGCACATCAGTCCGTTGATATTGCGGACTGGACGCATAGCCTTGTTGTTTGATAAGCCATCGTTAAACATCCGCAGCGAGGGAGTCTCGCCAAATTTGTGCCAAAAACGTTTGAACACATGGTGTATAGTGACGTATACTCTCAAGGGTCCAGGCAAGTCCCTGACGGTGCTAAGCGAGTTCCAGATGTCTCTCGCGATTCGGGCCAGGTCTTCCTGTTGAGTGGTATACGAGGGCGTGAATGGTATGCCTCGAGGTGCAGTGGACGGTGGCTGAGGATTGCCTTTATGCGAGAGAGTGCTATGCGGCTGCCCAACATATGGTCGTCCTAGAATGGTCGGAGGGTGGTCTTGGGGGCCAGGAGGGATGGATCCAAAGCCAGAAGATACCACAGGATAGAATTGAGGGCCGCTAGACGGCCCAAAGTTCGGCGGTAGATAGGGCGCACGCGATATGCTAGCATCCGCATTGTATGTTGATAACGTATTGTACGGGTCGGCTTGTGGTGTGGGATAGGAAAGGGGCGGACCTTGGTCCGAAGGATAATGGTACACAGGGGCAGGTAGGAGACTACCACTCCGACCAAGAGTGTCATAACCTTGAGGCGGCCGGGGTTCTGTCGCCTTATGACTCTGTGCGGTTCCCTTTCCTGCGATTTGCTGAGAACCTTTGGTCGGTCGGCCGTTGGGTTTGAAAATGGACTGCTCTGGCCACTCAGCTCTCCAGTGAACAACGATATTGCCGAGACTGAGAGCTTTGGTATGCTTTGCGGCATAGTGCTGTATGACCCCCTCGAAACCGTAGAACCTATGGCTCTCGCAACCATTGCAGAAAAACAACTCCTTCCTATGCGACTCGGTATGCTGTTTGATCTTCATATCGAATACCCACTTCATGTTCTCCAGCGTGAGCTTCTGGGTAAAAGGACCATCTTGGGGATCGACTACAGGTCGCCGCCCAGCTGCTATAGCCTCCGCAGCATCTTTCGCAACGTCGGCGTAGAATCTTGTCCGTACTGAAAGAAGGACCCCCACTGCAAACCGTGGGCTATTCTCCTTGTTGACTTTGCGACCCTTATTCCAGCTACCACGGATGATCTCGTCGGCATATTTTGCCATTCGCGCCCGCACCGGGCCTTGGATATCATCCCAGTCTTGGTCTGTAACTTCCCTTGCTGTATCGACCTTCGTCTCAATGCTGGTTCTCCGAAGTTCAGTAGGACACTTCTTGATGTTCCTCTCAGCTTCGGCTCGTTGAGACAGCAATTTGGGCTCCAGCGTATTCCACGCATCCTCGTTCAATGCGGCTGGGATTTGTATGGCTGCTTGAAAGGAAGGCATGTGAACAATGATATTGGGTGGCAGAGGAGGGTCGAGTAACATAGCGCGTCGCTCAATCTCAGCACGCCGTAGTGCCTTCTGCGCAGCCGCCTGTTCGTGGGTCTTGTCTGACCAGCTGGGAGTTTCGAAATCTCGGTTTTCTGAAAAAGCTTGAGGGGGCTTTGGTGGTTCGTGGCCTTGGTCTTGCATCAATTGATCGGAACTCCCGTTCCGCGGAGTTTGCACGGTCTGGCATATTTGCGCCAGACCGCCAGCCACAGTCCACTTTTCCCATCGTGAGGCATCGATTCTGAGCTCTTTGCCCTGGGCGTCTAGTCCCTTGAGCCACTCTTCGACGGCTGCTGTCCCGAGGCCCTGAACCACGTCTAGCTGTTCCTTGGCGGCAGCAATGCTGGAGGCTGAGTACAATTTGGTAAGTTCCGACTTGTGATCGCCTGCGCTGATTATCAAAGCGCTTGGCGAGATGGCCTGTAGTTCAGGTGTGACGAAGACAAAAGCGAGTGCTGGGATGAGGGAAGATGGGGTTGTGGAAGAGAGTAGCAAGTCGATCTCCTGTGGAACGTTTAGTTTCGAGATAAAAGATGACGAGATCCAAATAGCAAACAGACCTTCACAGAATGCTTCAGAAGACAGGAACCACAACAGGTGACGCCAAATGCAAATACGGTTGCCAGACCATGCACTCCAGGCCCTGAACGCCAGGGGTCGGCATTCTCTTGTCGTTGCTCACAAGGCTTTGTAACACCACAATATTGACAGGTTGTGGTGCAGCACAGCCGCCACATGTCGAGTTCAGTCCGATTCCCTAGTGGCGAGGGCATCCTGGGATAGTGCAGTCTCCTTGAAAGCTGCCAGACTGTGTCTGGTTTGATTGGTTTGAAGAGACTCGCATGTTCCGGGTGAAGAGCAGTGTTGCTGAAGGAGGACTGAGAATCAAGATACACGTTGAAAAGCTTGTTTACTCGTAGCAAGGCCCCCAAACTCCTAGGGGGGAGAAATGTGAAAACTTGATGCCATATTCCAGACGGAAGAGATGCTCTGTCCCAAGGCAAGTTAGGCGACCTGCTCCTCGTAGCCTCAAGCTTTGGTCTCTTGGACATGCCTTGGTCTTGGCCAGTACCACTGAATTCTACAATGCTATGAGCAGCCTTTCGTTTGTTGTCCCGACTCGAGTGATCCTGCAAGCTCATGGCGGCTTGATCGGATGTAATGACACTAGAGTGACAATTGTCCCTCGGTGTGGAGAACTTCACATCATCTAAAGATGCAGCAGCCTGGGATGAAGCAGCATTGCCATTGTCGTCCGCTGGGCTGTCGCGACGCTGAGGCGATGGGGAAAGCTCCATTGCATCCTTCCTTGCGGCTGAGACACCCCCTCGAAGATGCAGAAGAGAAAGGGAAGGGTATGATGGGTTGGATTGCCAATAGCAACGGTGAGAGGTAGAGAAGAGAGGGGTTGAGAGAGATTTGAGAGCTTGAACACTTGTCAGGTCTGAAAATCGTGATAGGTTGAGGGCCACGCGACAAACAATCTCCGGTCAATTCGTTGCGTTTCGGACCAGACTCAGACGACGCCTGCCGAATGGAAATTTGACCCTCTCAGCTATGAGACTCTAAGGGTTTGTGGGGTTGAAGGAGAGATGGTAGTGAGATGGCTCCCGTACAGTCTGGGAATGACAATGAACGTCGGGAACAAAGGAGCCTCCAGATCTACTGTCCTTTCTCTGGAGATCACTCCAAGCGAGGAATGTCAGGCGTGACCGAACACAAACGCTTGGGAGTAAGGAAAAAGGAAGCCACAGCTACTTGTTTAGTTCGTGTAAAACGGTTTTCGGAGACAGCGATGGGCGTTTGGTTTGACCGACGTGTCGGGATTGGAAGGAAGTTGTACAGGCTAAGATGCGCTGAAGTGGCGGTTCCGCGTCGGGTTATTGTTGCCAATGGGAAGCTCGGAGCCCCGGAGCTATGGTGCGCCGTCCATGAGTGGAGACCTACCCAGTCGGGTCTTTGAGGCAGCTCTACCACCTTACCTTGACGTAAGTACCTCCAGGTCCAAGGAAGGGAGGAAGGTATTTGAGGTCACTTATGTGCAAGTACAGTATTCTTTCAAAACAACAAGCTTCTATCATGGACTATGTTTGTGACGGCTCTGGTCGCTTATACGCGTCGGAAAACGGTGTTCATGGTCAACGACTGAGGATCCTAAGTTGATTTGGCTTTTGGCACGACCACAGGCGTACGACCTCATCACGAGCGAACGGCATATGACACAGGTGCTCAGTGCTGTTGCGAATACATCATATTCATTTTTTTTTATATCTGTCTTGCAGGAGACAAATCTCTATGGAGACTACAGACTACTTTGGTCGGGACGATCATCACTGTCTAGCTTGAAACGGCGCCTTCATTGCTGGTATCTCCCCCGTGTCCAGGGCCGTGCTTGACTTTGGATCCAACAGGAACGGTGCCCATAGAGGAACGGAATAGAGAATTGCGATCATGGCCGTGTCAAGCCATCTTTGGTACTTTGTCGGGCAAAGGAACGTTACACAGCTATCACAGAAACAGCAGGCAGAATACCTTAGATGCCTTATGTCTATGGGACTCCAGAAGATACAGGTAACGTACCAAATTAAGCGAATTGCTTCGCCTTAGACCCTCCACCCCCTTGAATAGTGAACTCGTATGTATGTGTAAGGTATGCAGAAAAAACTTCTTAGACGATTAGCCTTAGCCGTTTGTGAATGAGGCAAATTGCGAGCTTAGCGTCTCTGGCTTATTTCTCCTTCTGCTGTGGTATTCTGCCTTCATGATCGCCGCTGGAAGACCTGGCAATAATGCATCTGCATAGTGCCGATATCTTGTTAGCAAGACATGTTTGACTTGTGAGCTACCATTGCAACAATCCCCACCCACCTATCATCATGTGATACAGGAATCGGCCTGTGTTCCAGTGGTACGAAGTTCCAGGATTACCTCTTAACGTGATCAGCCGATCTCAACGGGGCGAAGCTATGACTTGCGTCTACTGCTTCCTTTTGCCTCATCCCCTCCCTGGCCTCTTCTGCTCTCTTGGTCGGTCTCATTCGTGTCATCAGCCGTCTTACCGCGACCGCTGGGATTTGGAGAGCGGGGGACGCTACTACCGTGACGATGCCGCGGGCTGCTTCGAGATCTCGGACTCGCACGTCCCCGAGAGGTTCGACGCGTAGAGCTACGACTGCGAGATCTGGAACTTCGAGATGAGACTGAACTCGAGCCTCTACTGTGGGATCGTCTATCGCGAACTGGTGAACGACTCCGTGAGGATGAGTATCTGCGGCGCTTTGCAGCTGCTCGTTTATCGGGCGATGTTGAGGGCGTCGAAGGGCTTCGCGACGATCTCCTCTTCCTTCGTGATTCGCGATAGTTACCCTCACTCCTTCTGGGCGACACCGATCGATTTCTTGTAGGCCTGGGGCTGGATATGCTACGTTCTCGACGAGTTCGTCGGGCGGGAGGTGGGGGTGGGCCACGACTCGAGTCTCGCTTGCGTTCGGAGCTGCGTGACCGTGAGGTGACAGACGCCGGAGACGGAGAGCGCTTTTCGTTGCGACGGCGGCCAGATGCTCGACCGCCGAGACCGCGATCTCTAGGGACGTAGCTGTCTCTAGTGGACCCACGGAACGAGCCTCTGTCCCTCTGGTCGCGATTCCTCGCAGCCGGTGAGCGCGACCTGTTGCCGCCGAACCGCCCTCCATGTCTACCTCTCTGGTCGTAGTCCCTGTCACTGTTGCGACCACGCCACATATCCCCGCCACCACGGCCGCGGCCGCGCTCACCGCGATCCCTGTCCCTCGGTACAGGGCCATCTTGTTGACGTCTGTCGGCATCGCCTCGGCGGCGTCGTGCTTCGTCTGCGGCACGATCGGCTTCCATCTACTATATGTTAGTTACTGTCCTTAGCTCTGGATGAACCTGTTTCCTACCTTTTCTTGTATCAATTCCAGCTTCTTAGCCTCGAGTAGCTCTTTAGGCACACCCTGCGGGCTTGTTTGGGCACTCAGGAACAGTTTCCATAGTTCCCTGCAGAACGGCGCCGTGTCCTTATCCAAGAAACCCGTCAGTTGTATTTGAAGAGACTTGATGTCTGGCTAAATAGAAGTCAGCAGCGAAGCGCGAGAATCGGTCGAGACAGACAACACTGACAAAACGAGGCCCTTCAATCAGATTAAAACAAAGCTCAATGACAACGTCATCTTCGCTTCCCAGAATGTCGGAAATCTTGCTGGCTATCCACCTGAAAAGAGATCAATTAGCAATTGGGTGACAATGAATGACGAGGTTCTTGCTTTTTCATCACCTGAAGGTTGACTTTTTGCATGTCAACCTTCTGATTGAATTCCGCAGGGAATTTGGTAGACCTCAGGAGCTTTGCGTCGACGCCGGTCGCCATGATGGTCGGAGAGGCAAGGTGCCGATGGGATAAGAGGATGGAGGAAAGAAGAAATGGATGCTGTGACGTCGATCTAAGGACGGTCTAGCAGAAGATCGGGAGCTGGCTGGGGTTGAGCCTAGAGCCGGAGCCGAAGCTGGGCCAGGACGCTGGTCCAGGACGCTGGAACGCGTCGGGTTCCAGTGGGAACGGATGTCGTGCCTCAGGTACCAGCAGTGGCCTGAAGCTCCAACCAGGTCTGGTGAGTTAGTCAGCGGAAACCTTAGGGAGTCACAGTGCTGGCAGACACGCAGGGAGTGGAGGCACTCAGGCGGCTACCTGCCTTCCATACCTTGAGCACTTAAGGCAAGCACCTAAGCCAGGCAGGTGCTCATGACGCTGAGGTGCGCACCTACCCTATTTATGGCGCGGGGCTTACAATGTCATCTTCCCATTGTCGATGCAACACCCGACCAAGAGGGTTGAAGTTAAGATCCACCGACATCGATTCCAGCCCAAATACTGGGGACATGAACGAAGTTGTCTGCCATCACTGCAGGTAGTCAGGAATCCAACGTTCATTGCACTTAACCTCCCTCGCATTTCTATCGGTCCGTCCGGTCAACGATGGGATTGCCCCTCAGGATGGATAACATACACGCTCCAACCGTGCCCTCGGGCCCAGCAAGCAACACGCCGATGAACGGTAACCTTGGTCGCCTTTCCTTTGCCGAGCTGCAGAGGAAGAAGGACAACATGGAGGCCGAATTGAAAGCTCTGGGTGCAGTTCTCGACTCTGTTCGTGATTTCAAGAACCCCCCCGTCTCAGCGTTGGGAGACGAACATGGAGAAGCGAGCATTCAGCTGATTGGCGAGCCAGCACGGTGTTGACATGAATACACCTCTCACAACTCAAGATGGCTTTCCGAGAGCCGACCTTGATATTGCTCAAGGTGTTTCTCCTCTGGTGGCAGAGACCTGGCACTTTGCTGATCGTAATAGTGCGCACTACCAGAGCCCGCATCATCCACCTCCGCAATGACTATAAGAACCTCATGGCCATGGTTGAAAAACAACTCCATGAGCACTTTGCCAGCTCGCAAGAAGAGGAGGTACCCGACGTCCCGCTCTCCGGGGTTTCCAACACGTTGGCAGATCATTCAGGATCTCAACCGCTGGAGGAACCATTCGCAAAGGTCAACAGTGTGGTTCCAGGAAGCCCAGCCGAGTCAGCTGGCCTGAAGCCGAATGACCAAATCCGCGTATTTGGGTACGTCAACAGGTCAAACCACGACAATCTCAAGAGGGTGGCTGAATGTGTGCAAGGAAATGAAGGTGTAAGTTGACTACTGCCCAACTCTTAAGAGTACGCATGTGATGTTAATCAAACAAAGCTACCTGTTTTGGTCAGGGTATCTCGACTTGGCCAAGGGGCGCGGGAGGAGCTGCACTTTACACTGACACCAAGACGTAACTGGGGTGGTAGAGGTTTGCTGGGCTGTCACATCTTACCTTTGTGAGAGAAGAATAGATCGCCTCAGCCGCGGGAGACCAGAGAGGGTTTGGCATCGCCTCATGTACAGTAGGCAGGCATTGTTCTTGATGATTTCGCCGGCATAGAGCGCGAAGTTTCATGCCGAAAAGCATCATTTCAGATCTGGTGGTCTGCTTGCGCCATGTAGAATTCGATCAGTGAGAGTCACTCAGACCTGGGGTGCTTCAGTGCCTGAGATGAGGTAGAAGCCCATGCCTAAAGCTTCGGTCGACCCGGTTCAGTAGCAGCTACATCTGCTGCTCAAGCACGTCGGCTTTTTCAAGCTTTAACCAGCACTGCAGTCGTACCAGGTAACTTTAATATCATAGGTCTAAAAAATGAAAACCATGAAAATTACGTTGATGTTGGGTCGCGATAAGGTAGATTGTAGTTTCGGGTACAAAAATACGGTTAAAGAGAGATGACAGCAACGGTTTGGCCGACGTTTGCGCATGGGCGAGATTGGTGGGAATCAAGGTACACGAATAGGTTCCTACCAGACCCTAAGATCCAGTGAAGTTACTGTTAAGGAAATATTAAGGACTTAGAGGAATTGATCTACCACAAAATGAATCTACAGGCATGTCATTCTGCCCAAGTGCGGATGACAGGTGCCATAAGGACCGAGGCGCGGCGAAGCACTGACGTTAGCTAATAGCCTGATATACCTAATCCCAGCTGCAGATATGAACCTGCGCCTCGGCGCCCAACATCACTAGCCACAATATAGCGGTGCGGGTATCGCCTTGGGTAAGCTAAGCTACCCTGTTCGTATGAGCTCATTTCGATCTACGAGAGATTTACTGTTTTCAAGCTGGCGCGGAGTTTCGTATATGGTGAGTAGGCGTAAGCTCTTGGTACCAGATGTGCGAAGTGAGGAAACTTTGGAAAGCTGTTGCAAGTCTGGTGGCTACTGTTCCTCTGCAGTTCTACATGGCCTTCTTGTATATCACAATGCGTTCGGTCTAGCACATACGACCATACCCATCGGAAAACTCGGGATCCCGTCCGCTCTCCCATAGATAAGCGGATGAGGGCCGGATTAGTAGTTGGGTCGGTGACGACCAGCGAATACCTGGTGTTGTATGTACTTTTTTGGTCATGATTGAGCGAGCGGATTTAGAGCCTTCGCTGGTTCTATTTTCTCTTTCTGATACTCCAGCGGCATAACAGGGGCAAGCATTCGTGTTCTGTAGCCTCTGCCTCGCTTTGCTCTATTTGAGAGCTTTCTGATAGCTAAGTGAACTTCAATGACACATGTTACTCAGCAGGTCGTAAACAACTACAAATGCCATGCTTACAGATGGAATGAATGTACTCGAGCAATGGTGCCCCACGGGGACCCAAATTCAGGACGAACGAAAAGCTGTGAAACACCAATGTCTTCGGTCACCCAACAAATGAAACCCCACGGGTGTCTAGGACTAGTATCCAGTCCACGCGGGACTACCAGGATGAATTAGCCCTGTCTATCAACAGTCTGCTAGCAGGTATCTACAGACTGCGCTGATCTGCACTTATCGCCGAGACTACCTGGTGCAATCGGGAAAGAGGGTTATGATTAACATTCGTCGAGTACTCAGTGAACACGAGGCGGCTATTCCAAAGACAAGTTCGTCTCGTCTCGTCTCGCCGTGTTATAGGATGAATCCGCTCATAGTACAAACATTAAACATTATAAAGCAGCAACCCTCGCATCCAGTCGAGTCTGCCCTGCCAACCCTCTTTCCACGTCACACATCCTCCGGCCCCATTGATAACCTCCTAGTCTCATCTTTAGCCCTAGCCTTCCCGTAAAGCTCAAAATCCGTGTAGACGCTACTGATCGCGACCCTGGCGGCAGGAGGGGAGTTCCACTGAGACGGTCCACCCCCGTGGTGCTGCTGCTCCGGGGACGACCAGGCGTCCAAGCCGACGCGAGAGACTTTTTTCGCTGTGTTGTACGTCGCGTACGTCTCACCCGTGCCCGCAGAAGATTCCCCATCTCGCGGCGGCGTGTTCCTGCCCTGGGGGAAGACGCACCGCCACGCGGCGCGGAGGATGGGCATGCCGAGGACGAGGTTGCCGACTAGCATTGCGGTGCTCGTCTCGCGCACGCACCACATGAACCAGATGGGGTCAGTCGAGTAGGTGAAGACAGCGACCTTGGTGAGGATTGCGCATAACATCTGTTGGAGGGACGTTAGTTAGGAGGGAGAGACTTGCGCGAAGGGACAGGCCTTTGAGGGATGGGACTCACAACGAATACACCCATGCTGAAAAGACAGATGAGAAGAAGTTTCCTGCAGTATTATTGTCGTTTGGCATTCAGATTCTGTCCCGGATGGGGAATCCATCGTCCAACACAAGCAAAGGGATGTACGTACTTTCCTATTTTCATCTTTAACCGACTAATCAGTGTGACCGGGATCAGAAGAAGCACCAGATCTGTCGAAAGGTTCATCGTGATTTGCAATATGTTGTAGTTCTTCCATGTTAAGCATTCCACTGAAGCAACAAGAGTCAGCTTCCTTCCAATACTCCAGGCTATATTCGTGAGATAGCTGATTTGTTGCAACCAGCTTCCATCTGTGAGGAGAACTCACTATTCTCTGGCTCGAGCTCCATGTAGTCAGAAAACGGCCTACACCATCCTCCATATAGTGAAACGATGACCGCGACGTATGCGAGCCCGGTGTAAGCTGCAACGCTAACCCAAGTCTTTCGATAATGACCAAAGAGACTGCCAATGGTGAGTTCTTGTGCTGTATAAGCGAGAGTTTAGAGGGCCAGATACGTACGTCAGGCGGTTGTACAATAGCAGTAAACAACACTTATTACCCCAAAGTGTTGTTTGGATTGAAGTTTCGGATAGAATGTTCATGATTCCCATCCTACGACCAACAGCAGCGTACTCGCCCAGAGTGAGGTCATCGAAGTCGGTTGACGCAACAATGTTAAAGTAGATATACAGGGCGGAGATCGAAGTCGTGTATATCAGCTACGAATATTACAAGTCAGCTCGTCCGTGATAAATCAGATCCTTTGTGAGCGGTGTATAAAGATCTGATCTGGGGGTAGACTGGGATGCTTCTCTGGTATAATTGACGAAGAAACTTACTACTATGATGGCCATCAATATATCGTCTACAGTAATCTTATCGAAGAATCTGCGCTTGCGGACGAGGTACTGTGACTGACTGGGTTGGCCTATCAGTACAAGACTTGGTTTTTTCTGGAAATGTCGAGTATGATTTACTCACTATCTCATAATGACCGCCCCCATCGCCAGGCAGTACCATACCCAGCACTCTGCTGTCGCGCTGACTGGCAGAGCCATCGCGGCGGTGCCAACGACGAAATGCCCGCCAAGCCGATGTTGAGACTATGAAGGCCGAAAAACGTGATGTTGTCGATACCTTTTCCAACCTCAAACTCTTTCTCTTTTTCGCGATCAAAAAGCTTCCAACTCTCCAAGGGCACAGGCAAGGTTCCACAGGGAGGGATTCACTCCTGACTATATCGTCGGTGCAGTAGTCTGTTCGGAACGATGAGGCATTCCAGTCCCGATAGCCACTGAACCGCATCCGGCTCTCGAAGGGGGGAAGCATGGCAGAGAGTCCCAGAACAACCCACAATCGCGAGCCTACCTTGACCGGTTCGACACAAAGATGGCTTTGAACCAACGACGAACTCAAAAGCCACAATCGCAACTCTAGGTGAGCGTTCTCCAATAATGGAGGGGTCGCTCCCCAATATCGACGTTGGCACTAAGTAATGCATTAACAGTCGATGGAGAGAAACACACGAATGGCTGGTAAAGGTCTGATTCATGAGCATCTGGCTGCATTCGGATGGGGATCGTCAGCTATCACTGGCGAGTTTTAGCGCCAGCACTACAAAGCACCAATATCAACGGGTCGGCAGCTTTCTCCAATTCCCTCACTCCCCTCAATAGTAACCTCAAAGCCATTACAGGGGGGGCGTCTCAGACATTATTGATTCTGTCCTCCTTCGGACCCGCAACGGCGACGCTGCCCAGGAGGCGATCACCGTCCGTGAAGGTGATTGTTACTTTCCAAGCTATCCAAGCGTTCGCCGAGACAAGCCAGGGGAGCCGACTTCTTTACCTCCGAGTCTTTGAGACGGAATCAGGTCCGACTCGGGTCATGTGTCGTTGATCACTTTCAAGTTATCATCGAGAAAGGTTGGCCCACCCGCCCGCCAACCCGCCCATACCGCGCGGCATCAGTGTCTCCCGCGTTGTTAGTCTCATCTGTCCGGCACCCGATAATCGATGACGGACTGGACATATCTGGCGGGCGCGAAATTCCATCGTGTCAAGCCCTTGGTTTAATTGTTTTTCCCGGCCTAGGCCTGGCCACGGATTGAATACGCAAGTGTCTCACCGACCGATCACATCACAGTAGGCGTCGAGCATAAAAGGGTAGCTTCACATTATAGGAGCGCCACCTCTCAGCCACATTTCCCAGCAGAATCCGAGAATCAGGTTCGCCAACGGCCCAGATCGTATGTTAACTCGGTTTCTCCTTCCAGTCGGCTAGGTATTGCAACAGGTAGGACGGCGGGAAGGGAGAGTAGACTCGGCTGATATTGCTGACTAGCCGACTGTGATACCTCATACGAAGTGAGATTTACAGATCCCAAGACCATGATGTATATTTTATTCGAGAAGGAGCAGCGTTCATCGACAGGTCTTCCGAGAAGACATGGCGGCGTGAATGGTGGCTTCGGTCAGACGAGCATGGGCCGAGTCCGTCTTCTTCCCGTGGAATCCCTCGGAACGAAGCGTGCATTATTGTGCATACACGGCGATACAGGAAGGCCGATGTCCGGCATGGCTTGCTTACCGTCGCTGACAGACTTGGGAACAAAAAGTCAAAGTTGAACAAACGCGAGTAGGGCTGACTTCAGCCACGAGACGATCTGCCAGAGCCATCAGAAAATTCATGGGAAGTTCCGCTGGTCAACGTTTGAATGAGTATAAGCCCAGCTCTCTGATGAGTCGACCGCGAAGATATGGTGAGACGAGTGCATGTCTAATGGAGAGTTGTGGGCCAAGGTCTAAGTCCGCCACACAGCCAGTCAGCAGAAAACGCAGCACATTGGGTATATGATGCTCGACATATCGAACGAAACAACAGAGGTCCAAGTCAGAACTGTAAGGTCCCGGCCCAGAAGCAACTTCCATAAGAAGCTGAACTAGATGTCCAAATTCGAAGCAGGGCTGTGACTGAAGGTGCGGCTGAGAAGCCATCCAATCGTATTCGCGATACCTTAGTCCTCTGCAAGGCTGGAGGCTGACTTGTGTAACTTCTTCATGACACCGAGTTGCCTGGTTGGGCGAACTGCATTCGGATTCTGGTCAGGTACCTCGAGGCAACTTCTGATGGATCTACGGAGACAGGCAACTCGTCGGTGTGAATGCTGAGGGAGATGGCAAAGGCTCAACTTTGTGAACCTTTTTGTTGCAACATTTCGGTATGTCATGTCAGCCTGTTCCTCCTGAGAAACACGGATAGCGAGCCCGTTCTTGTAGACCTTCCCTGCAGCATTATCCGAGGTATCCCCGGTTTGATGATTGTACCCAGATTTCCGGATACTGGACTCCGGAGCGACCGCCTCTAACGGATCGGGATGGTCGTTCGCATCACGTGATGATATGATTATGTCATTCCATCTTTGTTGTCCATCTACGATCTGAGCAGGTGCCAACCTTAGGTAAGCCAAGGAATGGTCATCAAGGTAGATGGACCATTAGGCAGATAGATATTGACTACCATGGGCGAGCAGGCAACGGTTGGGAAATAGGCAAACTAGGAAGTTGGATTACAAGGCAAGTCGCAACCTGATGGGGGTTTTGACCGGAAGATGGAGGCCTGAATGGAATACACGAGGGGATTTGTGAGATGTGTGGCGGAGGATCGCGTTGGTAGCAGAACATGGGAGATATTGATTGACTGTTCTGGTATGAAAGAAGATTGGCAATGTATGAGGTGGCTATGACAAAGATGTTGTATGTCTGGATTGACCGCCCAGGCCGCTCTCTGGGTCCCCAAAGCAGTGACAAAAAAGCGGACCTCAGAATAGCTTCGGTAGTTTTCATGACAGGCACAAGACTGAGGATGCATTCGCCGCCAACCTGCGCTGAGTTCCTTACCTTAGGTACATATCAAGAGCAGTCCGCCAGCGAAGGTTTTGTCTTTGCCTGAAGTAAACCCAACTTATTGCTGAAGGAGGCAAGGATACCAGAGGAGTCCCAATGGGCCAAATGGAAACGGTCCGGGGGAAAGAACAAATGGAAAGTAAAGCACCTGTCGCCGCCCATTCAAAGGGGTCCCCGCTATGACGAGACACCGCCGCACGTGACCCTTGCCTAGCCCAATCGTGCCTACCCGACTTTGGCCTGCCTGACTGAATTTTTCGCTTAAGAAGTACGGCTTCCTTGCAAGCTCCCCCGCCATCCTCAAAAACATAACCCCCCCTAAAGTCGATCAGTCGGTGACGATTTCCACACGTCGAAAAGTTTACAGCCCACTACCCATCCCTCTCTCCGGTACGCCTTCATCTTTCCCGCGCACTTGCCGACGTTGATTTCCGCTTTCACTTCGACAAATCTCTCCATCTGTTCGGTTTCTTTTGCTTTGCGCCAGCTGCTAACGTCGCGATCAGCCCCGCTTGTTTACAATTCACTCGCACCGAACCGATTCGTTCACCGATCGCAAACATGGCCGAAACCCAGACTCCTACCTTCAAGCTCGTCCTTGTCGGCGATGGCGGTACCGGAAAGGTGAATATGATACTCCTTCGTCATCCATGGCCCTCGTCGAGGTTGCGCCCGACAACAGCGTTTGCCTTTTTCGCCGACATCGACCCCTCGACCCGGGGATTCCTCTCCGCTCCCCCCTTCCCTTTGACCGCGTTGCTAACCATGCGTAACACTGTAGACCACCTTCGTCAAGCGTCACTTGACTGGTGAGTTCGAGAAGAAGTACATGGCCACTCTTGGTGTCGAAGTCCACCCCCTCGGCTTCAGCACGGTAAGTGCCTTCCAATCGGCTTGGTCCTCCTGCAATATCGTTCGCCGGTCTCTAACAGTGCGCATAGAACTTTGGTCAGATTCAGTTCGACGTCTGGGATACCGCCGGCCAGGAGAAGTTCGGTGGTCTCCGTGATGGTTACTACATCAACGGCCAGTGCGGTATCATCATGTTCGATGTCACCTCCCGTATCACCTACAAGAACGTCCCCAACTGGCACCGTACGTAGCACCCATTGGATCGACATGACTCGAATCTATACCCTTGACCCTGAATGATCAGCCCGACTGACAAGGACTTTCTAGGTGATCTCGTTCGCGTTTGCGAGAACATTCCCATTGTTCTCTGCGGCAACAAGGTCGACGTGAAGGAGCGCAAGGTCAAGGCCAAGACCATTACCTTCCACCGCAAGAAGAACCTCCAGTACTACGATATCTCTGCCAAGTCCAACTACAACTTCGAGAAGCCTTTCCTCTGGCTTGCACGCAAGCTTGTCGGCAACCCCGCCTTGGTAAGCTCCCTGGCCGACTATTTGCACCGATTATTGCCCAGAAATTTTCAATGCTAACTACTCCACAGGAATTCGTTGCCGCACCGGCTCTCGCTCCCCCCACCGCCCAGGTCGACGAGAAGCTCCTCGAGCAGTACCGCCAGGAGATGGCTGAGGCTTCCAACATGCCTCTGCCCGGTGAACTTTCGGACGATGACTTGTAAATATAGAGACGCGACATGGACATGATCCCAACGCGGTGGAACGGTTGAAAGGACGTCGTGAACCGATATTCTCTGGCGCAGACCGGCTATAGCTGGTCACGGTCATTATGATAGAAGACGGCACGGCCGGTTCGGTATGGTAGACTCGGAGCTGGGTGGAGGGTTTTACACTTGCTGGGAGACGACCAGCATACTTTGAGTAGTTTGACGCCTTACAAGATGAACACTGAGTCCTTACATTTCCACCAAGGTGTCTCGGGTTCCGCTCGTCCTCTTCTCTACTTTGCGTGTGCGTACCTCGGCAGACAGCGCAATGCATTCAATTAGATAGCAATTCAATGATTAGCTAGGCATGATCGGGCAGACAGACAGATATGAAGAGAGAGAGAGAGAGAGAGAGAGAGAGAGAGAGAGAGAGAGAGAGAGAGAGAGAGAGACCGGAAAGGCAGGTAGAGAAATGGTCAAGAACATAGTCTCGCCTGACCACAACATGCAACTCAAATGAGAGATGACAAGTGAGTTCAAGATATCTCGAAGAGTGCATAAGCAGTAGCTTGAATGGTAATGTAACGGACCCAGTTTACGAGTAAGAAAGAATGAGGTACAGTACCCAGATGGAAAGTTAAGGGTCTGAACTCCGGAGTACCTTTTAGTGAGTTTCGGCGAGGGCGGAAAAGTAACTCATTTTGTGCAATCTGTTCACCACTCGGCATCTAACAACGCAGCGCAGAAACGAACAACATCTGCGATTGAAGCCCCTGTTGATCGAGCTTTCAGCGGAACACACTTCACTTGGCTGAGACATTACCCTAAGTGTATGAAGTGACTTGCCAGCCAATGCTTAACTTGAGAGGAGAGCTTGATTGCTTGCGCATGTGGGTCTGTATTGTGGCTGCAAGCACTGTTTCCGCACCAGATCTTAGTAAGTATATCTGGTCGAGGGACGGGGGTTTTGTACACTATTACAGTCACCAACCTCCTCTTAATGTATTACGGATACCCCTGTTCTTCTCTCTCAACGCGCTTTTGGTTCACCAAACGAGGACAGACGCCTACGAGTTGGGGGTAGCAGTGCTAGATTTGGGATCCAGTGACGCGTCTGGTCGTACATTTGGCGGGGGGTGGCTGGGTGTTAATCTCTGATAGTACGGATATTTGGTGTCTGACCGTCTAACCGCCTGACCGAAGAAGGTAGAGCTGCTAGCGGGGCATAAGGGGACATGGATTGTAATGGGAATCCGTTCGCTGAGCCCGGCTTCTATGCACATTGCCACGCGTGCCATTGGGTGTGCTGGATTTCTGGAAAAGTACTCCGTAAGGTAGGCGTATGTTCTCATGGGACAGAAGATTGCTATACACAAGTGTATCCGTATGTTGTTCCAGCTTCCAAGCACCAATTCGCATTCGTCCCAGGCTCCCATGTCCCCGAGCAGACTCAGTCAGATGCGGGAGGGTGGGTACACGGATGAGTGATGGTCTGGGGTCAAATACCAAGGGTGCACGTACAAGCGACGACGAGCTGCCTTTCGCGTCTTACTGCCAACGAAAGCATGTATCGAACTAGAACCGGGGCGGTTCTCACGCGCGCAATAGCACGTAGAAACGTCGAAGAGCAGCATCACAAATGCAGTATATGGCCAATCTTAGCCTCACGTTTTCGGTACAATTCGTTCATGAGTTTAGCCATACGCGCACTCGTAAGATTTGTTGGGTGAGGCACCTGACCAAAGGTAAACTAAACGGGGGAGGAAATCCAAACTGGGGAGGTAAGTTAAGAGATCGGGTAGATTTCGAGATCTTCATGGACCATCGGTCAGGTCGTCAACGGTCAGACCAAGAGAGTCGATTCGTGCCTGTAGTTTTCACGTGGACAGCAAGTAATTAAGGTATGATATGTCCTCATTTTTGTCGGTGTATGTAGCCCCTGGTGATGGAAAGTAGACTGTTTTTGTTTTATTTCCCAATTGAAAACAGACGCGCGACGTGACTGGTCCGAGCCTTTTATGCGTAGACTACCTTACCTTATGCTAGAGAAGGTACCAAGGTAATTTGCTGACGCTACCGGTAGGTACATTGAGCGCGCACATCCTGGATCACAGGGCAGTCAAATGAATAACAGACCTTGGGGTCAGTCAACATGAAGAAATGTTCTAAAGTACGTGCATGTACTAGCCATGGCTCGCGAATGTCATTCTTAATACAAATAAATCTGAGCATGGGCTGGCTTACAGACTGTTTGCACCGCATTCATCCGGCCATGGAGAATATGAGGCAACTATGAAAGTTGAATGGAAACATGCCAGATGCTCATGCGCAAACGTTGTTGCAAGGAAAAGCACATAAAAACAGACGTGGAGGTGACTCGGTGGGGTCTGCGGATCCGTGCCGCGATCGCGCTGCTGTGTGGTACCTGCCCCGGTAGGCCTGGTCAGGTAGATGGGCATAATTTGCGATTCAGTCAAATCCAATACACCATACATGCGATCCAAATCAACTTGTGTAACGCGTCAGTGTCGACTGTAATCAACTCTTTCATGGATCAGACAACATTTTCCATAAATATTTGCTCATTGGTGATTTTGAGAGAATTATATAGCACTGCACTGAGCTGGTATTCAGACCAAGTCCAGTACCTATTCAGGTACCTTACCCTGGCCGGGTATCTGCAACTCCACTATCCACGTCCCTAGCGTGTAAGTGCCTTTGCCTAGTTGGGGTTCTCAGACGCGCCGTGTTCAACACCAAAACCCATGTGGGAGGCACCACAACTCTCACCTGGACCGTACCTGACCTTAATTGCGACGAATAACCGCGCCTCGTGTGTCTCGACGCTCTCGCTTCCCCACCTCGTCCGTTCCTGGGAGCCTCTCTTCGTCATTCTTCCTCTCTACTTTACTCTCCTCCCAACTTTGTTTTGCCTGCAGTCCTACCAATATCTTCAATTCACTCTATTGTTAGGCCTGTCTCGTTCACGTCCAGTCTTCCTTGAGTGCACGCTCGCTACCATCGTCTCCAGTTCGCGACTCGTTCAATTGCATCGACCCCAGGTCATGACTGTCGTTTACTACTCATAGCTTCAACCGCCGCCATGTCCGTCTCCGAAACCTCCTCCCAAGCCTTGGTTGGAGCACCACCGTCCTCTTCTTCCCCGTCTCCACGCGAATCCTCTTTCCGATCAGATCAACCCGCCCAGACTCCTACGAGACAGGCTGTTGCTACTGCCACAGAAACCCCCGACTTCGCGCCATCCTCGTCTGTCAAGACAGACGTGTCAAACACCGATTCTGAGCGTCACCCCAAGGGAAAGAGAAAAAGAACTGCGTATGTCATTGCTTTCGGCCCAGTCGATACGCGTTTTGTGCCGCAGCTACTAATTCTCGTTTGTCTCGTCTAGTGCCAAAGACAAGTCGATCCTTGAGGCTGCCTATGTTGCGAACCCGAAACCAGACAAGGCAGCGCGCCTAGATATCGTGAAGCGCGTTTCCCTCAACGAGAAGGAAGTCCAGGTATTTGATAACTCTGCCGGTACGACAACCGTCGCGCTTGGTGCTGATCGCGGGCATGTAGATATGGTTCCAAAATCGTCGACAGAATGACAGGCGCAAGTCGCGGCCCCTCTCCGCCCAGGAGATTGCTGCTCTTCGTTACGGTGGCATGCAGATACTCTCTTCGGATCCGGTAGCCTACACCTCTTCCCTCCCGGAAGAAAAGGCATCGCCAGTGGTAGAAACTGCTCCCGTCAACACTGTTATGTCTGCCGAGACTCCAGTCAAGCCTATGCGCTTGCGAGGAGACGAGACCGAGGAGCAGCCTCAACACGCAACACCGTCCATTCTCAATGGCGGTGCTGAGGCGACGGCCTTGGAGACGCCATTATCCCAAGTCACAGCTTCCTCGTCTCAGCCTCACTCAATAGGCTCATTCTCCTTTTCAAACTCTGTTGGGTTCTTCACATCATCCCACTGGAACCCAGCAAGTGCCTTTTCAACCCCTTCAACGCTCAACCGCACCGTTGACGAGACCCCTAAGTATGGTTCGCTCCATTCGTTGTTGGCAGCATTTGTGCTAACATGGCATGCAGATCCGATCTGTGTACACCTGCGTCTTGCTCACCGCCTGCACATGGATCACACACCTTACCCTCTCCTCAATCGTCGCAACAATCACAGGTGCGATTGTCGCTTTCGCTCGAAGGCAAAGCTGAGCTTGTCTCAAATGAGAACTCGCCCCCTCGCTTCCAGCCTACGAAGCTGTTTTCGGATTTGGCAGCCTTACCTCAACCCAGAATAGCTCGACCGCTCCAGCGCAGTCTCAGTGCCCTCCCCAGCGTAACTCTGCCACCCATAACAGCCCTGACTGACTCGCTGCCGCCGACGCTGGGACGAGGTAGATCTCGTGACGCTCATGCGTGGGAACTGTGCTGTGACGCTGATTCTCGCGACGAGCTCACGACACAGGCTGAAGATGAGTCTAATGGCTCTGCTGTCGCTGCCATCAGCCTTCTCCGCTCAACCAGCGGCGTTCTTCAAAACAACAGCTCCAAACGGAACTGCCCTGCAAGTAGGCCGGCTTCTCGGCCTCAACAGGCTAAGAAGCCTAAGCTTTGTCGGACATCTTCAAGCATGGGCAGGATGCAAACATCACTCGCTGATGGCGAGGAGTCCGTATCTCAACTGAGTGACGAAAAAGGCCTCGGTGACAAAGTCAAGGTGGATATGCTGATATCTCCATCGGGTGATTCTGATAAGGAGAATTGGAGACCCGAAGACGAAGACGACATGCGTCGGTTGCCACCAATCAACGATCGAAGACCCTTGCCTGCTATCGTTGACACCAAAAACAATGCGAGAAGAACAGGACGGACTTTACAGGACCATCCTGGTCCCGCCATATTTGGCAGTAGCCGCGCCAGAACGATGCCAGCCATGGGACGCCGAGCATCCGGAAAATATGTCACCATATTCGAGGATGGGCAGAACTCAAGCTCACCTACTGCAAAGGGTTCGGACGAGGTGGAGAGTTTCATGCGAGGCGCAGATGTGAGCCCGAGCAAAAAGGGCGATATGGACTGCATTGCAGGTCTGTTGTCTCTTAGCCAAGGTGCCTGGAGATAGAAACTTGGCGTGGAGGCAGGCGGCCTCACACCCTCGTCGGGAGTAATTCGCATAAAAAGTGAGTGTCTTTATTGCGCCCCCTTATGGACACTCAGTCGGCTCCGTGGTAGAAACGGACAGTTGCGAGTCCAACAACATGGGCAGTGACCCCCTCGTCAGACGAGTTGCGACACAGAAAGAAGACATAGGAAGCAAGGGGCATGGCCCAGCAATTTCAGAGACGGAGGTGCTGGGCATGCTATTTATTGCTTGTGAAAGGTTTATACTTTTGTCGTCTCCTGCGGGAGCCAAGACTGACACGACACAACCTAGCTCTCGTCCTCAACTATCGCATCGCGAATCAGGTGACGGAGTATTGTCTTTGTGCTCACATGTCGGTGTTGTGTTGGGGCTTGGAATTATAACAAGCAAATGGCGTCCTGGATTTGGTGGTAGATATGGCTCTGCAAAGTGGGTTGTGCGTATGCAATGTTTATGTTCTGGCCAAGCCTGAAAGGCGCCACGGCGAAACATGTCATAAAAGGAGCAATGGAAAATAAGCCAATAACGAAATTGCTGTGCCTCTTTTGACTGAGATCACCAGATGGTGTTTACTGGTGTCTAAGATACTTTGCGTGAATGAAGATGTGTGAGCTAAGGTACCATCCATCATCTTGCATCCTCAGGTGCGAACTCAGAATGCTCACATGATTCATGATCACTCAGGAGCAACCCTCCTGTTCATTAACGCAAAAAGTTGGGAGAGTGCGCACTCTGTTTTGGTGGAATGATAAAAGAGGTGTCAGGTACAGGGCATGAGGGATCTAGGTTCATAATTTGTGGCAGAAGTTGTTTGGCATATAACCACACCTGCTAGTCGGGTCTACCGCCAACTGCAGATGCTGGTGAGACTTTGATCTCACTCTCTCTGTTTCTATTTCTCTCTTCCCAACTATGTACCTCTCTTCTCCCAAGTTGAGGGGAGAGCGAGTGCGATAGCTTGCGCACACGTCTACAGCCAATGCTAGTATTATCCCCCTTCATCTCCTTCATCTTCTGATAATATAAGAGCGCACTGCTCATGCGGGCATGTCAGATCTGCGTCTTTCCATCCGCGCACAAAAGTGGTCGTCTTATGCTTTCCTCTCTTTCTT